GAAGTCGCTCTCCCAGTGACTACAGTTGAATGTGAGGCTCGTGAGAACTCTGGGTGTCCGGGGGCAGGACTGCCAGTCTCTTCTCTCCAGAGCCACCTGGTGATAAGCTTTTCAGACGACATCTCTGTGTCTGCTTCCCTGCGCCACAGAGCCCTGCTCTGGTGCTGTGTTCTGCATGGCACTCTTCGGTGGTGTGGTGTGTCGCCGTTCTGTTTCTCCACACCTTTCAGCCGTCCTTGTATGGATTTCCAAAGCTCTTCCTCTCTCTCTTAGTAATGGTCCCCCTTTTCTTATCCTGACACCTCTTCAAGGGTCACAGGGAGGTAGCTTCTAGTCTGCCACCTGACACGGAAGTTACTTCTTGGGACGTTTTTATTTCCATTTTTTTCTGGTCTTCTTCCTTGTCATTTAATCATCTATAGCCTAAGAACACTCCCTTCCACTGTCCATTTTCCAGATCCGGTTGTAAGCATCCTGAGAATGGGGGAAGGAAACCGCAAAGATGCAAATATTTATTTCACAGAGCTTGGGAAGACATATTGAAATCCTCACTTTGAGACCTTTGTGCCTCAGTAGTGGAAGTGGTTTCCTGGCCCTTAAGTGATTGCTACTCTAAAAAAGAAGCCCTGGATACAGCGGGAGACAGGATTTAATAGGGTCACTGAAGTAAGCACTGATTCCTTATTTACCTCAGTCCAGAGTGCCTTGTGGAAATGTCCCGTTCAAGGTGTCTTAGGCTCAGTGTGTTGCTGGTCCTAAAGGACAAAAGAACCTGGGCTTTATTGAGTTTAAACAATAACCTTCAGCCTCTGTTCATGCAGCAACGCCCAACTCAGTGAAAAGGGTAAAAAGGAGAGAAAGGAACGAGGAAGAAGGGGGAGAAGAAAGAAGGAGGGAAGGGAGGAGCAGGGAAGCAAGCAGTCTATCTCATAGTCCTTCAGTCTACCCAGCATGCTGGGTGTTAGAATTCCTCTCAAAGCCCTCAGCTGCCCCTGTCGGAAAACCAGTGGGAATACTCACAGAAACCCCAGAAAGGGGATCATAACAAGCCTATGGCCTGGGACTGGGGCAATGACTGGGTTGATAAAGTGCTTGCTGGTCTAGCATGAAGATCTGAGTTCAGATTTCTCCAGCACCCATGGTAAAACAACAACAACAGCATTGTGTGCCTGGAATCCCAGACCTGAAGAGTTGGAAGCAGGAGGATTCCTGGGACTTACTAACCTTCCACTCTTAGTTGAATTGGTGAACTCCGGGTGTAGTGAGAGACCATGTCTCAAAGACTGAGGTGGAGAGCAGTTGAAGAAGACACTATTACCAACCTCTGGCCTCTACACCCAAGCCTACGTGTGTGTGTGTGTGTGTGTGTGTGTGTGTGTGTGTGTGTGGAAGCGCGCATGCACACTCAAATGCTTGTTTGCCAGTGTACGCATACACACACACACAAACACACACACACACACACACACACACACACACACACACACACACAAGGTCTCAGCAGAAGATGAATAGAATGAAGAGACTATCAAAATGCCACTGACATCTATGTGTGCTTGTACATCCTCTGTATTGATAAAGAAGTGATACCCAGAAAGCTGAAGTCAGTTGCCTATGATAAATAGCAGGCCAGGGCCTGAGGCTGAGCAGGAACTTCTGCCCAGAAGTATTAAAGACATTTAACTGGAAAGGAGCTAACCCTTGGCTTCTCTTCATACCTAGTTCTGTGGACTTGGAACAGTTCTCACCTTAGCTAGGATATTGCTGTGATAAAACACTATGACCAAAAGCAACTTGGGGAGGAAAAGTTTTATTTCAGCTAAAAGCCTATAGTCTATATCTAGGGAATTCCAGGCAGGAACTAATGCAGAGGCAATGGAGGAAATATGCTTACTGGCTTGCTCTCCATAGCTTCCTCAGTCTGCCTTCTTATAGCACCCAGGATGGTCTTCCAGGGGATGGCACCACCCACTGTGAGTGGATCCTCCCACGTCAATCATCAATCAAAAAAAAAAAAATGTACCCCAGGCTGCCCACAGGTCAGGCTGTTGTGGGTCTTTTCTAATTAAGGTTCTCTCTTCCCAAATGACTCTAGCTTGTGTCAAGGTGACATAAGATGAGTCACCACCACAGGTCTCTTTTAGAAATACATGCTTTTAATTGACTATAGCTGAGGGGGAAAAAAATGATAGGTTAGTTAAAAGCACAAATTATTTTTAAAAAAACAACTTAAAAACAGTAGATTATTTATTACAGGGAACAGCTATAACAAATCATGTGGTGGGGCTGATTTTCTCCTATTTGAAAACATAAAATTTAGGTTTTATTTGTTGGTGATTCATATTCAAGTAGTCATTGTAAATTTTGTACAAAATGACGAATGCTTACAAAGAAAATACATAAGCAGGTTGACAAACAGCCTTTTGTCACCTAATATAAGGTTTTTGTTTTTTTTTCACCAGATATCCATAGAAAAGTGTTCAGCTATTGATCTGGTTTCTCATGCGGGAAACCAAGAAGCTCTTGAAAAACAGGGTAAAAACTTCCTTCAGTTTTCATGCCTAAGAGTGAGGTAGTTTCTTTGCTAATTGACCACATCTTTGGTCTTGGTTAATATTGCTTGGTTTCTAAATAAATCTTAATTTTCTATCTTATCGCTTCTCATAATCCCACAGAAAACTGTCCCCAGGAGAATCAGGCTCAGAACTACACAAAATCCACTCTGCTTTAGTCTAAGAGACTAAAGATGCCACTAACTTCCTGTTTGAAATGAATTTATTTCATTACAAACAATTGTCAATTTTATTTTGAAAATTACTCCCTGGATGAATGCTTTCTAATGGAATTATTACCATCTGGCATTACTTCCTTTTGTGTTCTAAAATACAAACTGATGCCAAGTAAGACAGCCCTGCCCCCCATACACATAGCTTGTGTCATTTGGGAAAAACAGAAACAGCCTCCGAAAATCTGTATCTTTTTTTTATCTAGATGCTTTTTCCCCCATAATACCTGTAGCTTTTCACTGGAAAAACTTTGTTAAATTAAAATCAGAAATTCTATGTTTAAACTGATGGGTTATGTTTTAGTCAGTGCCAATGCTCACAAACTGAATCTCTTTCAGCTTTGGTTGGTTGGTTGATTTAAAAAAAAATGGTTCTTATGCTGTAGTTCAAACTGTCCTGGAAGTTACTGTGTAGCCCAGACTAGCCTAAAATCATGGCAGTCCTCATGTCTCAGTTTCCTTAGTGTTGCGATCACTGGTGTCAGTCACCACCACCACCTCACCCAAGCCTTTTCACTACCACCAAGTATCATAGAAAGAATGTGATAGTGGCCCCAGAGAGACACATAGATGTGGTCTCTGAAGGAAGTCTTTCTGGGGAAATAGTTTGCTAGTCAGCCTGGAGCAGAGGTAGTGGAGAAGACTTCAAATGAGCAATGCCTGGTCTCCCTACATTTAATCATAGCAGTACCTTTGCTGAGCCAGACTCAGGGCTGTGTGCACTTGTAATTTTTGTTTTGTTTGATAGCCACCCCTCCTGCCCTTTAGTATGTAAGTGGAGAAAGACTTGGAGTTTGAATGTTTTGACCAGATCACACAGAACACAGGTGGCAGATCTCCCAGCGTGACTGCAGAGCATGTGAAGCATGAGACAGCTGGGGAGATGAACATGAGTGTTTTCTTTCTTCCATTGTCACTGAGAACGTCTGCAGAGGGGTGCTGAGTTACCCAAGCAATAATTTCTTTCTATTTAATGTTTTATTATAGCATGCAACTTCAAGACAAGTGCATGAAATTTTATGTATTTGCACCTAGCACTCAAAAAGTGGTTTCTAATACACCATTCCATTCTTTAGTACAAAGAAGCAAGGTCCTTTGGGTAAATGGCTGATTCTAGGATTGAAGCAGGGATGTGTGAGCCTGGCGTGTCCTATAGTGCTACAAAGTAGGAAGCTGTCAAAAGCAAAACAACAAATCACCTGAGTAAACCGATTTGAGTCTATGAAAGAAGCACATGCCAAAGGAGCTCCTAGTGGCCAAAGCAGCAAAATAAAGCGGTATTAAGTTATAACCCATTTAGAGCGCTATTTAAATATTGGTAAGTCCCTACAGTAAGGAGCTGACGTGTAAACGCAGCAAATGGGGAGAAGAGATAAAAACTCCTGTGCAAAAGAATTCCAAAAGTATAATTTATATAGCCCCTCCATTCCCTAAGAGGCAGAACATAGCACGCTCTCCTTCAGTGTAATCTGGACATAGTGACTTGCTTCTGATTAGTATATATGGAAAGGAACTTAAATTAATAGAATAACAGTAGAGTTGGACATGAGAAACACTGCCTCAGTCATGTTTCAGGTCAGCATCAGTGGGTTGCCATGTTGGAAGTATATGCAGTTTATAAAGTGTGATAATAATGGTTGTGTATCTCTGTACCATTCCTCGCCCATCCCCATAATTTTAGTCTAACTTTGAGCAAAATACCAGACAAATATTAATTAATTAATATCAAGATCATTAACAGCATGCCTGTGGTCAGGCTCCTTGATAAATATAAGACTGTAGAATATTGTTATAAATAAATTACCCTATAGTGGAACGCAATATGGAGCCAAATATAGATTGCTAAAGGGTAGTTTATTAATAAATTATACTCATGTGTGTCCGCTAGCCAGGCAGCAGGGAGTCCGCTTAGGCAGGTGGCAAGGAGCGAGAGAAGGGGCTCCACGTATGCATCCCTCACTCTTAAACCTTTCCCACATCACTCTGACCACGCCCTGCTTGGGCGTGGTCAGAGGCACCGGTCTCCAGCCCAAGCGGGTGTGGCCAGGATTTCCCCCTACATTACCCTATGGTGTTTAGCATTTTATATGTCCTATGCTTGTTTGAATTCACAACCAGATGGAAAAAAAAAACTGTCATTGTGTATGAAGAAAAGGCTTTGTGTTGGTCCCCTTCTGATTACCAGACAGAGCACATTGGTATCTGTTTCCATCAGGTTTATAATTGGAGATCTGCTGGATTCCGAAAATGACATCTTTGAGAAGTCCAAAGAATGTGACCTTCATGGATCAGAGGAGTCGCAGAAGGCCTTTGACCACGGGACAGAGCTCATCCCATGGTACGTGCTGTCCATCCAAGCCGACGTGCACCAGTTCCTCCTGCAGGGGGCCACAGTCGTCCACTATGACCAGGACACGCATCTCTCTGCCCGTTGCTTCCTCCAGTTGCAGCCTGACAATAGCACCCTGACCTGGATAAAGCCCCCCACCGCCTCCCCAGCTGCTGCCAGACCCAAGCTTGGTATGCTTAGTAATATGTCTGAACCCGGCAAGTTCCCATCACTGGGCAGTGCTGGGCTGAGTGGCCTGGCCGAGGGTATCCTGGATCTGTTTTCGGTGAAGGCTGTGTACATGGGACACCCAGGCATTGATATACACACTGTGTGTGTGCAGAACAAACTGAGTAGCCTGCTTCTCTCCGAGACTGGGGTAACACTGCTCTATGGACTTCAGACCACAGACAATAGACTCTTGCACTTTGTGGCACCAAAGCACACAGCTAAAATGATTTTCAGTGGATTGCTGGAACTCACGACAGCTGTGAGAAAGATAAGGAAGTTCCCTGACCAAAGACAGCAGTGGCTTCGGAAACAGTATGTCAGCCTCTATCAGGTAAGGACTGTGTCCAGCCCTCTCCCTTGAGTAGTGCAACCCTCAGGACCACACACTTGACATTTAAATACTAGGTTCCCAGCCCTGACACTCACTCTGTGTAAACTTGGGCAGCTTTCTTTAGCCTCCCAGGATCACAGTTTCCCTGTCTAAAAACTGGAACTGAGCTGTATTTGTCCATAGTGTGTGAGCTCATAGCATGTAAAGACAAAGTTAAATTAATCTGTATGTCCATGGTGGGCCACCTTACTATTTGGTATGGAAACAGTGACTGTGGTCATTGCCGTTCTCACATCTGGAAAGGAACCAGTTGATACAGGCGCTTCACCCACTGAAGGTTTCAGCTGAAAGCACCGTCACATGTCAGATGTGGTGGCACAAGCCTATCATCCCAACACTTCGGAGAATAAGGAAGGCTAAAGAGAAGGCTTTACCAACTAATTTATCCAATCTGGCTTCCCTAGCTTCTTCCAAGAGTGTAACCTGGGGGCATTTTTAATTAATTAGTGTGAAGTCTATTCCCCATGCTGGGAAAGGAAGAAGGTCACAGGACACCAGGAGATTGAAGGAATTTTTGAGGACTTTGTTCAACTCTGCTGCTCATTCAGTCCCTGCATTGGTGCTGCCATATTTAGAATTGTCTTGACTCCTCAGTTAACCCAGTGCTGAAAGTCCCTCATAGACATGCCCAGGGGTTTTTTTCCTCCAACTAACTCTTCAAGCTCAAAGCTCCCTGTGAACACACAAAGGCCAAGTATTTTAATTTCCACTTTACGTAAACTAACTAGCCCTGGCTCTGAGATATATACCATTAGTACCGCGTAAGTGACTCCTGCACATTAACACAGTGCTCAGTCATGCACTAGCACCAACATTTATTTTTTAATTTATAAGTTGCCTTTTGAACATCTGTGGGATTTTTCTCCAAAACTCTGTTAATAGTCCTATTAGAACATTACTGTATCACAAGTTTGGGAAAAGTGTATGTAGAAAATAAAAATAATCTTTTCACTTCAAAGTGAAAAATATAATGAAATCCAGGAAACTATGCAGTGATATTGATGGGGAAGGTGGAAGAGATGTGGACCCCTTAGCTTTGGCTTAAATTGTCAGGGGCAAAGCTAGGAGACCACACTGTTCAGTATTAAAATGGAGTTCTGAGAAGCTGTAAAACTCAAATAGATATCAGGTAAGCACCTTTAGTTGTAAGCAATGAATTCTAATTCTTTACTATAGGCAGAGGAAAAATACTTAACCAAAGGTTATGGATTAGTTTCATTGCCTTCATAGAAAAGAGATGTCAACATGTTTAACTACATAGATTTTTTTTTAATTTCTTTTCTTTTTCCAAGACAGGGTTTCTCTGTGCAGCCCTGGTTGTCCTGGAACTCACTCTGTAGACTAGGCTGGCCTTGAACTCAGAGATCCACCTGTCTCTGCCTCCCAAATTCTCGGATTAAAGGTGTATGCCACCACTGCCCAGGACTGTTTTATTTTTACTTTTTAATTAATTATGTATCTTTGTGTGTCTGTGTGTGGGTGGTTTGTGTGTATTCAAGTGCCAGTAAAGGACTTGGAGTTACAGGCAGGTGTGAGTCGCCATGTGTGTGTATTGGGGACCAAACTTGTCCTATAGAAGAGCAGTCAGTACTACTAACCACTGAGCCATGTCTCTAGCTCAGGTGGATCTTTTTTTTAATGAATCAGTTTCCTTGCCATAAACTTCTACATGAATTGATTGCTAAAACTAAGTATTTGTGTTCACTTATAAGCATAATTCATTCACAGTTTTAAAAAGAGAAAAGAAACTGTCTCCTTTATGTGTCCCAAACATGCTTATTGTTTAGTGTAAAATGAAAGGAAGAATCAATCACACTATATTTTAGTTTCCACAAAGCCTCCATGAGAGAGCAAACAAAAGTATTATCTTATGATCTGGTTTTCTTTTTCTTTTTTTAGCTTCTTTTATTTTTTATTTTTTTTTATGTTTGCATGGCTCTCTGTATTTATCCGTATGTGTGTAAGTGTACATTCATACCACTTTTCTTATAAATTTTATTTAAATTAGAAACAATCTTATTTTACATATCAATCCCAGTTTCCTCTCCCTTCTATCCTCCCATGGCCCCCTCCGACACCCCCATCCACTCCCCAGAGAGGGCGAGGCCTTCCATGAGGGGGACATCAAAATCTGTCAAGTCATTTGGGGCAGAGCCTAGGCCCTCTCCTGTGTATCTAGGCTAAGAGAGTATCCCTCCATGGGAAATGGGCTCCTGAAGCCCATGTGTGCACTAGGGATACATCCTGGTTCAACTGCCAGAGGCCCCATAAACTGCCCAGTGCTCCTAGCTGAAACATTCATGGGGCCTGGTTTGGTCCTATGTTGGTTCCCCAGCTGTCAGACTGGGGTCCGTGAGTTCCCAGTTGCTCAGGTCAGCTGTTTCTGTGGGTTTTCCGAGAGTGGTCTTGACCCCTTTGTTTGTCACTCCTCCCTCTCTACAACTGGATTCCAGGCATTTGGCTCAGTGCTTAGCTGTGGATGCCTGCTTCTGCTTCCATCAGCTACTGGGTGAAGGCTCTAGGATGGCATTTAAGATAGTCATCAATCTCATTATAGGGGAAGGACATTTAAGGTAGCCTCTCCACTATTGCTTAGATTCCTAGTTGGGGTCATCCTTGTGGATCTCTGTACAATTCCCTAGTGCCAGATTTCTCTTTAAACCTATAGTGGCTCCCTCTATTGATTTGTCTCTTTTCTTGTTCTCTTTCCTCTCCCCACTCAATCTTCCCGATCCCTCATGTTCTCCTCCCTGCTCCTCCTCTCCCCTCCTCTTTCTCTTACCTCCTTCCCCCCTCTTCCCATGCTCCCAATTTGTTCAGGGGCTCTTGACCCTTTCCCCTTCACTGGGGGACCATGTATGTCTCTCTTATAGTCCTCCTTGTTTCTTAGCCTCTCTGGAGGTGTGGATTGTAGGCTGGTAATCCTTTGCTCTATGTCTAATATCCATATATGAGTGAGTACATTCCATGTTTGTCTTTCTGTGACTGAGTTACCTCATTTAGGATGGTTTCTTCTAGTTGCATCCATTTGCCTGCAAATTTCAGTATTCCATTGTGTTTTTTTTTCCACTGAGTAGTACTCCGTTGTATAAATGTACTACATTTTCTTTATCCATTCTTCAGTTGAGGGGCATCTAGGTTGCTTTCAGGTTCTGACTACTACAAATAATGCTGCTATGAACATAGTTGAACACATGTTCTTGTGGTGTGAATGTGCATCTTTTGGGTATACACAAACTGCTGGATGTTGAGGTAGGCTGGTTCCCACTTTCCAGAGAAACCAAGATTATAATTTATATTACAACATTTTTCCTTCCCTTTCTTCCCTCCAGATCCTCCCACACACCCTTCAATTTCATGACATCTTTTATTTTTTGATAATTGTTACTGTATGTATATATGTATGTTATACACATATATATTCTTAAATATAACCTGTTCAGTCCATGTGGTACTGCCTGTATTGCATTTTCAGAGCTGACCATTTGGCACTGGGCAGCCAATTGTTGTCTTCCCTAAGGAAGACCACCCTCCCACCCCCAACTTTCCCCAGTTGTCTGTAGTTCTTTATGAATTGTTGAGGCTCTGGCCTGGTAGTCTTAAGAATAAATTATGCAGCATGTTGGGATAGTCTCAAATTAGGAAAACTGAAATAGCAGAGATTGGTCATGCTGATGATTCTTTCCTGTGTGACTTGTAGCAGATCTGTTAAAAACTTAAAAGTGCATGAGTTAAAAGAAGATGAATGAGCAAAAGTTCTGCAAAACTTTTGGCTCTATGTTCTTCAATAAGGCAGTTTGAGTCTTGTGTCAGGTGATATCTGTTCAGTTTGGAATATCCAGAATAGCTCATTAGTTCGTACTGTCTTCAGGAAGCCTGGGTCAGGTGGGGTTCCGTCATCCATGTTCATTTTCTCACACCTGGTAGTCCTATTCCTGGGTGCTGTGACATGTGCCTGTAGTCTCAGCTGTTGGGGAGGCTGGGGTGAAAGGCTCATGAGCTGGAATTTGGACTGTATATTAGTAGGACTCTGTGTTTTAAAAACTTCAGGGCGGGCTGGAGAGGTGGCTCAGAGGTTAAGAACACTGGTTGCTCTTCCAGAGGTCCTGAGTTCTATTCCCAGCAACCACATGGTGGCTCACAACCATCTACAATGAGATCTGATGCCCTCTTCTGGCATGCAAACAGAATACTGTATACATAATAAATACATAAATCTTAAATAAATAAATAAATAAATAAATAAATAAATAAATAAATAAATACTTCAGGGAGGAAGATTCTGATTGATATATTTGGCTCATGCATCAATCACAGGTTAAGGGCGCAATATTCCACTTTAATTGACAGATACATTAATATCTACTGAAAATTGATAAAATAGAAGCTAAAGAAGGAAGAAACAGACATAGAGGTCATAGATGTAAGTCACATTTCAGGTGGTCACCTAAAGATTTCTGCATCAAATATTTATAATTCTGCACCCTGGGACTATAACAGGATACACAAGGTGGAGTTCATAGGTTAAGTTATAAAGGCAGATAACCATTAGGGCAAAGAAACAAATGTACACAAAATCTTATTATCTGCATATATTTGCAATGAATCAAAATCTATGGGGGCAGGAAAGATTGTTCAGTGGTTAGAGTTCTCACTGCTCTTGCAGAGGACCCAAGTTCAGATCCTAGAATCCACATTAGAAGGTTCACAACTGCCTGCAACTCCAACTCCAAAGGCTCTGACACCCTCTTCTGGCCTGTGGGTCAATGGCACACATGTGCATCCATGCATGCATGTGTGCATGCACACACACACACACACACACACACACACACACACACACACACACACATGCACACACACACACACACACACACACACACACACACACAGGTGGACACACACACACAGAGAAATCATTTTAAAACATATTTGCAAATACTTTCTTGGGAGTATGAAGGAGGACTACCCTTAAAAGATTATAGTGCAAATAAAAGAAAAACAACAAAGAGCCGGGCGTTGGTGGCGCACGCCTTTAATCCCAGCACTTCGGAGGCAGAGGCCGGTCGATCTCTGTGAGTTTGAGACCAACCTGGTCTACAAGAGCTAGTTCCAGGACAGCCTCCAAAGCCACAGAGAAATCCTGTCTCAAAAAACAATAAATAAATAAATAAATAAAAGATTATAGTGCACATACATAAAAATGGGTAAATAGATGATAGATAGATAGATAGATTAGATAGATAGATAGATAGATAGATAGATAGATAGATAGATAGATAGATAGATAGATAGAATAAAAATAAAGGTTACAGGAAATAATAAATGGAAATAAATTTGAGGAAAAGTACTAAAGATTGACCCAGAGCCTCATAGATGCTAGACAATTTCCCAAGAATCATAATTTGGAAAGTCTTAAAGATTTCTGAAGTGCATTCTAGGTGAACACTTTACCAACTGAACTACACCCCCAGTCCCTAATGTGCAGTCTTAATGAATTTTCCCACAGGACTGGTTCCTGAATAATCTCAGAGACTGGGCCTGGAAGTGTTTTGTCTTGGTTTGTTTTCCCGCAGCTGATGGGTTAAAATACATCATTGACCTCGGATGTGATCAGGACAACTGGGGACACAATCAGCTCACCAACGGGAAATCCCTAGAGTCTGAACAGAGAATCACATGGGTGGCCAGATCCTGCTTCTCTAAATGCCTGAGCTTATCCAACTCTGGGAATTTACTGGGGTCGATAGTATTTACTCCCTGTTGCTGCTTGCTTGTGTGTTCAGCATATGGTTCTTTGTAGGAGGATGGTCGGTATGAAGGCCCAACCTTGGCTCATGCTGTGGAATTGTTTGGTGGCAGACGATGGAGTGCTAGAAACCCCAGCCCTGGAATGTCAGCAAAGAATGCTGAGAAGCCCGGCATGCAGAGAAACAACACCCTGGGCATAAGCACCACCAAGAAAAAGAAGAAAATGCTCATGAGGGTACAGTGAACTTGTTTATTAAGCATCATATCCAGCCTTCTAATACTACCATGCGGTCTACATTGCTGTAAGCCACCTGAGGTTATCTGAGTTGTGGACAAGATAAATTATAAAACAAGGAAGGGTCACAAGGGCTTGCCACATATCTTTCAGTTGCCAGGGTCAGTGTCAGGAATCAAGCAAGGAAAAGACACCAAGGAGAAACCAAAGTCCTTAAAAGTCTGCATTGGCTTAAACACAGTACTTAAGTAAATGTGAGTCACCTGAAAGAGCTGTCTGTATCAGTAGAGCAGTGAAAAATATAGGGCCAAGAGTAAGGACCTCAGAGTAGATGATACATGGTGGGTCTTGAAGTGTGTACAGGAGTTTTCCAAACACAACACAAAGGAAGGCATCTGTTGCAGGGGAGAGAGCAGGGGGGCCTTTGCTTATTCCTCTCACATACAGAGGTATATGTGAGAGGCTGGAGCACAAGTTCTGTAGTGGGTAATGAAGGACTGGAAAAGAAAAAGGATAGTAGCAGGCAGGGATCACTCCTGTAATCCCAGCATGCCAGGGGCTAGGACAGGAGGACGGAAGTAAGTTCAACCAAGGCCAGCTTGGGGTTACAAAGTAAGACATTTGTCTCCAAATAAAATCACACAAAAAGAAAGTAGAAAAAAGATCACATTATGAAGACCCACAATGCTACATATGAAACAAAACAAAATATAGTAGCACTGTGTATTGTTACTTGTATAGTGTATATTTTCATTATGACATAATGCATTTGTTTCATAGCTATCTAAAACAGTACTGCACTTTGCCCAGGGTCATAGAACTTCATTGCTTCTTACTATGTCTGTCCCAGAGATTCCAGGGGTGTGCATCCTTTCTCCAGCCTCCTTTTCTTGGGGAGACACTGCTTCACAGTGAAGAGCACACTGGATGAAATGACCTGAGGTCACTTGGGCAGCCTTAACGTGGGTCTTTACTGGTCTCACCAGGTCAGACAAGATTGAGGGACATAGGCCAGAAAGCAGAAACCTACCTGCACTAAAGCATTGGGGGAGAGTGATACAGTCCAGGAGCAATACAGTAAGATTTCTGCTTCCAGGGAGAGAGTGGAGAGGCAACTGACGATGAAATGGTGACCCGAAAAGCCAAAATGTACAGAGAGTGTCGAAGCCGGAGCGGTTCTGATCCTCAGGACATTAACGAACAAGAGGAGTCGGGTAATGCATTGTGCTCACATCTGGACTCTGACTTTTATGGAAAAGAACATAGATTTAGCTTTCTGCTGTAATTTCAATTTGATGTTATGGGAATTTTTCTTTACATTCCTTTAAAAACATTTGTGTGTGGACACATGTGTGGGTGCCTTCAGAGCCCAGAAGAGCATCGGATCCCCTGGAGCTGGAGTTACAGGTAGCTATGCAAGGTCTGATGTGGGTACTAGAAATGGACCTGGAGTTCCCTGCAAGACCAGCAAGTGCTCTTAACTCCTGAGCCATCTCTCTAGCCCCCGGTGGGCATTCTTAAGAAAAATTATTGGTCTTGATGAGATGTGAAACCTAAGAGGTATTTCTACAAACACACTCCGCTTGAAAGAAAGTCCTCATCAGCTTGCCATTATTGGTAGATAATATTAGCTACACAGGATGCAACTGACCGGATGTCAGTGCTTTTAAAAGCATGCCTGGATGTCACGGCCACACCCATGACCAAGTCATTTATTTATTCTTTGCCAAGGCCTTGGGCATCTGTGTACTTCTTTAAACTCCCAGGTTAGCTTGTAGCCTGCTGAGAACCCACCAGATTGACCCATTCATCAAAGCATTTAGATGTTTCTTACATAAAAATCAATTGTGTGGATTGAAAGTAGGAGCTAAGTCATCATCTCTTTTTTTTTCTTTTTTTTTTTTTTATCCCTGCAGAAGCCAGTGTCATCACCAACCCTCCCAACCCCCTCCATTCCAGAAGAGCTCACTCTTTGACCACGGCTGGGTCCCCCAACTTGGCTACCGGGATGTCATCTCCCATCAGGCCAGTCTCCTCCCCTGTGCTGTCTTCTTCAAACAAGAGTCCCTCCAGGTGGGGCCTTAACATGATGAAACAGGGGATCTCCATGTCACTCCAGCAGTGAGGAAGGGCATGTGCCTTGCTCTCTATGCAAAGCTTGTCTCTAGTTCTAACTCACAGTTAAACAGAAAAACCCCTAACTGAAAATTATTCTGATTTTCCTAATTCTGTAATCGTAGTTTCTCCTACTGCTATATTCCCTTCTAATTGTTTGAGAGAGAGCAGTCCTTCCAAGGTCAGAGGCAGCAATAAAAAGCCAAGCCATGATAACCTAAATCAGCACCATCTAGTTACTCTCACATGTAGTCATTTAACATAAAGCTTCAATTCTTCAAAATTAAATTGGAAAATCAATTCCTGGCCCACTTTTTAATTGCAGCACAGGTGGCTAATGCCGCCTCAGCTGAACTCTGCAGATTGAGAGCACGTGTATCACCGCAGCATGTTCTTTCTATCTGATAGCCCCACTCTAGGGGGAAACATGGATTTGAGTGTACACTGCCTGACCTTACTTACAGTGAAATACACACCATGCTTTTCTGACATGTGGTAGGAGTTATTCTGACCTGGAGCAGTAAATTTAAGTATTGCAACAAGCTGGGTATCTTTATCCAAACCCAAAGCTGGGATTGCGGCAAATGATCTTGTAAGGATCACAGACTTAGAAGTCTCTGCCTCTGCTGGCCAATGACTGCACTCACCTTTAATCTTAGCATTTGAGAGGTAGGAGGATCTCTGTGAATTGGAGGCTGGTCAAGCCTACATAGCTAGCTAGTTCCAGGCCTGCCCAGGCTGCATAGTGGGACCCTGTCTCAAAAACAAACAAAACACTCTACATCTTAGAAACAGAAGTAACAATAAAATGAAAAGCTGCCAAAGGGAACCGGATTGCCACTCCATACACAACAGCTAAAGAAATGTGGAAGACCCAGGCAGAGCCAATGTAAAGCAGGTCCTGTTCACTGTGCCACAGAGAGGTGGGTCTCAGCAGACAGACACTGGCTTTGGAAATGTTCAACACACACTACTTGAATGCGCACACATACAGACACACCTGGTGTAATCCTCTCATCGGCTTTCTCCTTAACGTTGACACAAACTCTTTATCTTTTAAAGGGATGAATTCCCTCACACCTGGAGTGACAAACTTGCACTTTAGTCTTTATGCATTCAATCCCACCATTGGTAAAGATGAATCAAAGATTAAATGACTCTCTTTATTACTCTTGCAACTTGTTCCACAAATTCAGATTTATAATAAAACTGAAAATAGTTGCAACCCTTTATATTTTCAGCCCATTCTGGAACCTGGATATATAAGATAGAAAAACCACCTGGATTAAGGGTATTTGCCTTTTATTTAAGTCACTTGTGAGCAGGGAAAGGCAGAAGAGAGTGATGGAGAAGAAACTAACATGCCAGATCTAAGGTCAAAGGCTCAGCCCCAGGGGACAGGGCCACTTCCTATTTACAAGTTCTAGGATAGAAGGAAGGAAGACAGGAGTAACACCAGCCTGAACCCTGTTAAAGGACAAAGAGAGACTGGGTCCCTTAGTCAGACAGTCCCGCAGCCGAGGGTGGAACTGTAAAAGAGAAAGACAGGGAACTCACTTGTGTAATTGGAGCATGTTGCAATGATAAAGAACTATTCATGTCTTCCTGAACTTGTACCCTAAGTTGCACACACCACACACGGCTTAAATCCATCCATTTGTGATGCTCTCCCATCCAGAGAGGTGACTATCAGATAGTAACACTAAATAATTTTCAGTCAGGCAACACTGGTAGCAGAATTGAAAGTAGACTGGCTACTCGGTGTCCTTTATACTTTCTTATACATTAACACTTGAAATACCCCTCTGCTGCTACCCACCCCAAAAAATCTAAGCCTTCCTCAAAAGAAAAAAGAAAGAAAGAAAGATCCTGTTAATTGATTTGACTGAAAGCCATAGTTGAAACATTTCTTCTGCTACTTTGAGTAATAAAAAGTATAATGAAATGGCCAGATTGAATATTTGCCTGAGAGCGGTGATATTTTTATAGTGAATGGATGTAGCCTGGGTAGGTGCAGATGGGCTCCAAGGCAGGGTTGGCTTCTTTCCATTCTTAATATTTTTCTGACTCACATTTTCCACTAATATTAAAAGCTCTTCCCTGTTTTCATTGAAGACCTGGTTAAAAAAGGAAAAAGAAAGACACTGATGCATTTCAAACTTGCCTCCTGGATGTGTTTCCATCATTTAGAATACAGAAAAGAACATGAACTATTTCCCATACATTATGAATGAGGAATTTGCCGATCTTTGTTTTTGGTTTTGGTTTTTTGGGTTTGGGGTTTTTTTGTTTGTTTGTTTGTTTCTGTTTTTGTTTTTGTTTTTGTTTTTGTTTTGACATGATTTTTCTTCAGACACACTGAATTTAGGAGATTCCCCAGATTTATCAATTTTTGTTTCCAAAGAGCTGTTCTGTTAGTGAAGGAATATTAGCTCAGGGTTTTGTCCCCATTGAATAAACTGGAAACACTGTTACCAGTACATATTTATACCCTCTGATGTGATGTTGATTAAGGGAAATAAAGAGTCGGAGATATAGTATTGTTTCAGTTTTTGCTCAGATTGTCATCAGAGACTGTTGAGCAGAATGACTCCGGGTGTGCTTTTGCCAGTGACAGCCATGTTTCTCTGCAGTGCCTGGAGCAGCAGCAGCTGGCATGGGCGGATCAAAGGAGGGATGAAGGGCTTCCAGAGCTTCATGGTTTCAGACAGTAACATGAGTTTCATTGAATTTGTCGAGCTGTTCAAATCATTCAGGTAGGACGTGGACTTTCTTCTTTCCTACTCTTTGTCAGGCCCACAGTTGGGTGACAGCTCTAAATGGGGGGTGTCTTCCATTCCTCCCTCAGCGTAAGGAGCCGCAAGGACCTGAAGGACATCTTTGACATATACTCTGTGCCCTGCAATCGGTCTGCCTCTGAGTCAGCCCCCCTGTACACCAACCTGACCATTGAAGAAAACACCAGTGACCTTCAGCCTGACCTAGGTTAGTTTAACATTTTAGGACTTTCCTTTGGGAGCTTTCTCTCCAAAAAACCAAGGTCCACACAAATGTTCAGCCTGCTATTCATGGTGTGCTGTTAACCTGGAGCTTTTGAAACACTTGAGAATTGTCTCCAAGCTCATTTGGTGTCAAGGGGTGGGCAGGTGTTGTGGGAAATCCATTGTCACATAGTTCTTTTGGCGCTTAGTTAAAACTGGGGTATTTGTCTAAGAATACCCTTGGTCACTCTGACAACCTTGCTGCCTTTCCCAACCACTTCCAAATGTCCACAAGGATGGGACTGTGTCTTAATTGAAAAACACCAGTGTCTGTCCTACCCATAGATAAGTGCTTGCTCAGGCCCAGGCAGTGATTGTCTGTCCTTTGTCAAGGGGAGTCTTTGGCCACCTCAGCAGAGTGCTCCTGTGTGAACATGGAGGATGTTTTTTTCTTCCTTTGTTAACCAGAATGTCTCCTTCTATCCCACTTATACCATTTCAGTAAGCCTATCATTTATCTCCTAAGTTCTTGACAGAGCATGCGCGTGCAAAGTTCTTGACAGAGCGTGCGCGTGCGCGCCCACACACACACACACACACACACACACACACACACACACACACACCCCTCTTTTTTCATGTACTTACTTCATAATTACTTATAACCTTATATTGTCCTGATTCACTATTGTACAGCTCTCAAAACATGCGTGCCCACAGACTAACCAAGTAATTACATCTTTTAAATCATCACATTTTATCTTATAGACCCATTGTAGGTTTCTGGAAAATGAAAAGAAATCATAGAGTCCCATACACTGGCCCCTGCGCACCTGTGTAGATATCTGTCCACACAAGCTTTCCCTGTTTGTGATACCCTGCATTAGTAAAATACATTTGTTACAATCCTAAGTGGAGTCCATGGTTTTCCTGAGAGTTGTGCATCCCTGGGTCCTACAAATGGTGACATGTATGCACGGCAGTGTTAGGCAGAACAGCTTTGCTGCCCTGAAAATCTCTGTCCCACCTTTTCAGTTTTCCCTCCTTCCTTCCCTGTAAGCCCCTGGCTGCCACCAATTCTGTTACTATTCCATAACTGTGCCCTCTCCAGGATATAGCACATCATTGAAATCCTACAGTATGTAGTTTTTTAGGATGACTTTTCCCCCACTGGGCAATATGCATTTTCATTGCTTTTTCTTTTCAACTCAATGGCTAATTTATTTTCAGTTGAATAATATTCCATTGTATAGACATCCTGCTATCAACATTTGTATGCTTGAATTTTTTTCTTTTTTATTTAAATTAGAAACAATCTTATTTTGCATATCAGTCCCAGGTCCCTCTCCCTCCCACCCTCCCATTTCCTCCACCAACCCCCATCCCATTCCCCCCATCCACTCCTCAGGGAGAGCGAGGCCTTCCATGGGGGAATCATTAAAGTCTGTCACTTCATTTGGGGCAGAGCCTAGGCCCACCCCCATGTATCTAGGCTGAGAGAGTATCCCTCTATGGGGAATGGGCTCCCAAAGTCCATTCATGCACTAGGGATAAATACTGTTCCACCACCAGAGGCCCTATAGACTGCCCAGGCCTCCTAACTGACACCCACATTTTAGGGGGCCTGGTTCAGTTCTATGCTGGTTCCCCAGCTGTCTAACTGGGGTCCGTGTATGCATGATTTTATGTGTCGATTATGTTTTATAACCTTTTGGCTGAGTACCTAAGCATGCTAGATTTTATGGTAAGCCTCTGTTTCGCACTATAAGAAATTGCCACATTGTCTTCCCAAATGTAAAATGACAGTATGATGGCTTCTTGTTGAAACAAATGTACCCTTTACATAGGGTCCAACTATGCTCTTTGATCATTTACCAAAATGAATTTCATTTTTTATTCTTCTACATATCATATTTGTTGTCCAAAAGTTGCTATTACCAAAATGAATTTTAAGATAGTATTGATGCAAAATCTATATACAGATGTTCATAATTACAAATTTAAAAATACAGAAAAGCTCTAGTAGTATGTTTCTTGGTTCTCTTCCAAAAGAAAAGCTCAGAAGCAGTTATTCTCAAAACAAACATACAAAAACACTGGGCCAGAGATGGCTCAGAGTTGAAAATATTGCTGACCTCCTGGAGACCCAAGTTCAGAATCCAGTACTCATGTTGGGTGGTTCACAACCATATATGACTCTAGGCCGAGGGGTCCTGACACCCTCGCCTCCAAGGGCACCTACCCTCACATGTATATACCCACCCACAAACACACATACACATAACTTTTTAAATCTTTTTTTAATCTAAATTTGAGCTAGATGAGATGCTGCATACCTTTAATCCCAGCCCTCGGAAATCAGAAGCAGGTAGGTCTCTGTGAGTTTGAGGCCAGCCTGGTCTACAGAGTGAGTTCTAGGCTGAGCATCTTCCCAGCCCCTAGGTTCTTTCATCTATTCATGGATTTGTTTTTATTTTTCCCTCTACTGTCAGAAGCCAACAATACACACTGACTTTGGCACTTTACTTAAACAGTTTCGCCAGGGCATTGACTCCAGATGAACTCCGTCAAAAGGCTTCTGGATAATCCATTGCTATGGGTGGCTGTGTTTCAGATTTGCTGACCAGAAACGTCTCAGACTTGGGGCTGTTCATTAAGAGTAAACAGCAGCTTTCTGACAACCAGAGGCAGATATCTGATGCTATTGCTGCAGCCAGTATTGTGACTAATGGCACTGGAATTGAGAGCACATCCCTGGGCATATTCGGGGTTGGTATACTCCAGCTCAATGACTTCCTGGTGAATTGCCAAGGAGAACACTGCACGTATGATGAAATTCTCAGCATCATCCAGGTATCACGTGTATGGCATGTCTCTTGACTGATCTGATAATATGATGCTAAGCATTTTGTTCTGTTTATATGTTTTCCCAAAGCCTTCATTATCTGGGGTCCAAATAGTTTCTTTTAATTCCAAGTCCATAGGTATTCTTATTTATCATATAATTAACATAGGTCCTAGGGCATCTCTGACTCAATGGCAATTACAAAAAAAAAAAAAAAATTGTGCCAGATTCCTTCTTGCTGTTCTAACACATGCAGCAGTCTATATTTTCAGTCTGTCACTTAACACCTATTTGTCAGCTCCTACTCTGCAGTCTGTGTTTCAAGAGCTGGGATATAGTACTGGATAAAGTTTCATTCTTCTGTGCAGCTTACACTTTGAGGCGTGAGGCAAACAACTTCAAGAATGAGTGGTTTCTAAGAAATGAGCAGGGTAGTGATAACAGGAAGGTTGAGCTGGAGAGGGGATGAGCTCTGAGTTGAGTCAATTGAAGTTCTGAGGGAAGAGGATTCTCAGAGAAGCATAAGGAGATAGCTCAAACCCTGGCGCAGGAGGGAGCTGGGGATTTATGAGGAGCATCCAAAAAGCTAGCGTAATCAGAGCCAGGTAAGACTGGCAAATGCGATTTCAGGCAGGTATCCAAAGGCCAGCTCATCTAGGACTTTTAGACCACGGGACGGATGGAGATTGTCCGTGTGAAACAGGAAGCTTGGGGAAATTTGAAGCAGGAGGGCGCATGATTTATGCTTGAAAGGGTCACCGTGAGCCCATTCGGGGATAACCATGCTGATGAGGGATGGAGACTGGTGAATGGTAGAAACTGCCGGAGCAACCCAGGCAAGAGAAGGTAGCTGTCTAAAGGGCAGCAGCTACGGGAGTGAAACTTCACTGTGGCAGGGCCTCAGGCAGCAGAATGGGGTTAATCGCCTGATTGGGAATCCGTGGAGTATCTGGGTAGCCTTTAGATTTAACCGCTAAAAGTGCTAAAACCGGGGGACCACTGTGACTCAGTTGAGTGTAAGTTTGGTACGGGTTATGCCTAGAGAATCAGCTCGTGCCCCCTCCCACTGCTGGATGGTAGTTGCCATTATTATCCTCACCTTCACCTCACTAACGCACAGTGTTTTCAAATAAATCAGCCTTATTCTTCTCTCTTGCTCCTTTTCTTTCTATTAAGTAAATATGCTTGGTATAATAAACTCACATATAATAAATATTTTCTTTTGGACTAAAAACTACATCTTACCACTACATAACTAAATTAGTTCAAATATTTGGTTTAGACGTTTCCTAATGAAAACAGAAGAGCTTTTTTAAAAAATGATGTGGTGTTATTTCCCCCTTCTTAGTTTTCTTTACCTAAAAAAAAAAAAAAAAAAAAAAAAAAAAATTTTTTTTTTTTTTTTTTCCTTTTTTTTTTTTTAATCCCTTGCAGAAATTCGAGCCTAGCGTCAGTATGTGTCATCAGGGCCTAATGTCGTTTGAAGGGTTTGCAAGGTAACACTTCAGATCCCCTTTGCACGTGACTTAAGAGTTCGCATTGCTCTTGTGCAGCCCTAAGAAAGTGTGTTTCATCCAGGTTTCTGATGGATAAAGATAATTTCGCCTCAAAAAATGATGAGTCGCAAGAGAACAAGAAGGAACTGCAGCTCCCCCTCTCCTACTACTACATTGAGTCTTCACACAATACCTACCTCACAGGCCATCAGCTCAAGGGAGAGTCCTCCGTGGAGCTGTACAGCCAGGTATGGAGAATGCTGACTGAGTGTGGCTCGCGTGACGCTTTCTTAACATGTAACCCCCAAACTACAAAAACTTGCCCCCAGACTCCTTTGAAGAGCTTGTAAACTGTGATGTGGAAATATAAGAAGCCGTCATGTGTGGGAAAACGGGCTATACATACATACAGCGGTTGTTTTCTTTGCTTCTTTCTACCCATTTGTTTGTTTGTTTTCCCCTCTGTCTATACTTATCCTTCATAGTAGACAAAGAAAGAAGAAAGCATTTGAGACTCACAGCTTTTAGATCTTAGTCGGAGCTACTCCTACTAAAATTAAATTTTCCCATGGGAAAGCTATCCAATCATTTCACTAAATGCTAAATAAATCCATATATTGTGGTGGGAAAGCATAGTAAGAAATGCAACTTTCTTACGGAGTTAATCCCAAAATGTTGTTTGTTTTGCTTTGCTTTGCAATTTGTTGGACAATCAATCCATCCCTATGGCAACGAGCTAAAGAAAAAGCTGCACAGACTGGAGGCGCTTTCCTCCAGGCTGCATTGCATGAGAATGTTCTGGGAAACAGTGGACTCTGTGGACTGGGAAAGGCACATCCTTTGACCTGACCAGCCAGCTCTCAGTCACTTATGTGCCTGTCTGCGTTACACTGTCTGAAGCTTCCTCCTCTGATGTCCATTTTCTCAGCTCCACCCAGACAGCAAGAAAGAGCCAGGTTGGGTCCAGGGAATGTAAGTGTGTTTCAGTGCTTGTGGGTCCAAGTTTGAAAACTGTACTTATATTGTACTCACACAACCCCAGAGACAGTGAGATTTGCTGTTCTCCAGATTGGTCCAGTATTCACAGAAGACTATGACACAGTTTTGTTTTGTTTTGTTTTTTTTCCCCAAAGTTTGTTCGGCACAGAATGTGTTTTAATCTCTGAACTCTAAGGAATCTTTATAATGAAGTGAAAATGTGTTCTCAGAGTGGTGATCTTCAGTGTAGGACTCTGTCAAGGGCCCACATCTGCTTATACTGAGATGAAAAAGCCTCAGCTAGAAGGCGCTGTATCCTGCCACAGCTCTGCTAACAGACTATTGGCCAGTCTTTTATGGGCTTCACACATTGGCCGCTTATTTGCACAAAGAGCTCTGAAGTCAAAAAATGTTTATGGAACTACATTTTTTGTGAGATGGCACAGAGAGTTAAGACACTTGCCACCAAACCTGATGACAGAATTCAGACCCTGGAACCCACATGATAGAAGGAGAGACCTCCCGCAAGTTGTCCTCTGACTTCCCTATGTGCCATGACATTCATAGGCACACACAAAAAAATAAGTAAATAAAAAATAAATGTAAATTGTAAAAGTTTACAATCCATTGTTCTGTGGGAAATATATATGTATATCTTTGTATCTAAAATGCTGTCTATATTTTATATGTACATACACATATTCATAGGGGTGTGTGTGTGTGTGTGTGTGTGTGTGTGTGTGTGTGTGTGTGTGTTTATCTATGACTGTGAGTTCATTCCTCACAGAAAAACAATCATGGACCATTTCTGAGCTTTGATTTCCAATTCATGTTTGACTTTAAGAAAATTTTAACTACTTAATATTCTACCCGAAGCAGAAATTATCTCAGCTTCAGTGTATCTGGTCTTATGTTGAGGTCTTTGATCCACTTGGACTTGAATTTTGTAAATGGTGATAAGTACATTTTTCTATATGCCGACATCCAGTTAGACCATCACCATTTATTGAAGATGCTTTCATTTTTCCATTGTATATTTCTGCCTCCTTTATCAAAACTCAGGTGTCCATAGGTGTATGCACTTATATCTGGGTCTTTGATTGGTTTCCATTGAGCAATATGTCTATTTTTATGTCAACACCATGTAGTTTTTGTTACTATAGCTCTGTAGTACAACTTGGAATTAGGGATGGTGATGCTTCTGGAAGTTCTTTTATTATTCAGGATTGTTTTAGCTATCCTGGCTTTTTTGTTTTTCCATAAGAAGTTGAAAATTGTCCTCTTAAGGCCTGTAAAAAGTTGTGTTGGAATTTTAATAGGTATTGCATTGAATCTGTATATTGGTTTTGGTAGGATGGATGTTTTTATTTCGTTAATTCTACCTTTTCATGAGCATGGGAGATCTTTCCATCTTTTAATATTTTCTTCAATTTCTTTCTTCAAAGACTTAAAAGTTTTTGTTCAGATTCTTTCACTTGAGTGGTTAGAGTTACCCCCAAGATATTCTATATTATTTGACACTATTGTGGAGATGTTGTTTCCTGGATTACTTTCTCAGTGTATTTGTAATTTGTATATAGGAGGGCTACTGATTTTTTTTTTTCAGTTAATCTTGTATCCAGCCACTTTGCTGAAAATGTTGATCAGCTATAGGAGTTCTCTGAGAGAATTTTTTAGGGTCACTTATGTATGCTATCATATCATCTGCAAATAGTGATATTTTGACTTGTTCCTTTGCAATTTGTGTCCTCTTGATCTCCTTCGGTTATTTCATGCTCTAGCTAGAACTTCAAGTACTATATTGAATAGATATGGAGAGACTTGACAACCTTGTCTTGTTCATGATTTTAGAGGAATTGCTTTGAACTTCTCTCCATTTAACTTGATGTTGGCTATGGGCTTGCTGTCAACTGACTTTATTATGTTGAGGTATGTCCCTTGTATCTATAATCTCTCCAGGACTTTTATCATGAAGGGGTGTTGGATTTTTGTCAAAGAGCTTTATGGTATCTAATGAAATGGTCATGTGGAATTCTTCTTTTATTGTGTTTATATAGTGGATTACATTTACTGATTTTCATATATTGAACCATCTGTGCATCTCTGGGATGAAACCTACTTGATCATGATGGTTGATCTTTTTTGATGTGTTCTTGTGTTTTGGTTTGCAATCACATTGTTGAGTATTTTTACATCTGTGTTCATGACAGAAAATTGGTCTTTCTTTGTTGAGTTTTTATGTGGTTTGGATATCAGGCTGACTGTGACCTCATGAAATGAAATGGGCAATGTCCCTTCTGTTTCTATTTTGTGGAGTATTTTGAGGAGTATTGGTGTTGCTAACTCTGCTTTGAAAATCTGGTAGAATTCTGCTAAAACTGTCTGGCCCTAGGCTTTTTTGTTGTTATTGTTATTTTTAATTGTGAGACATTATGGCTTCTATTTCAGTAGAGGTTATAGGTCCATTTAAATTGTTTATCTGCCCTTGATTAAACTTTTGTTAGTGGTAACTATAGAGAAAATTATCTATTCCAGATTTTTCAACTTGATGGAGTACAGGTTTTAAAAATTATTCTCCTGGTTTCCTTGATATCTGTTGTTACATCCCTTTTTTCATTTCAGATTTTGTTATTTGGATATTCTCTCTTTTAGTTATTTTGAATATGAGTTTTTCTATCTTGATTTTCTTAAAGAAGAAACTCTTTGTTTCATTGATTCTTTATATTTTTCTCTTTGTTTACACCTCTTGGGTGGGCTTGCGTCTTTTTCTTTAAGAGCTTTCAGGTGTGCTGTTAAGTTGCTAATATGAGATCTCCCCAATTTCTCTATGTAGGCACTTAGTGCAGTGAACTTGTCTCTTAGAACTGCTTTCTTTGTGTATTATATATCCATTTTTATTGAATTCTAGAAAGTCTTTCATTTATTTCTGTCTTGATCCATTTTCATGCATCAAGTTATTCAATGGAGTTGTTCAATTTCCATGAGGTTGTAAACTTTCTGTTGTTTCTGATATCCGTCATTATTCTATAGTAGTCTGATAGGGTGCAGGGGTTATTTCAATTTTCTTGTATTTGTTGAGACTTGCTTTGTGTCTAAGCATGTGGTCAATTTAGAGAAAGTTCCATGAGGTATTGAGAAGAGGGTGCCTGCTGGAGTTGTGGGATGGGTTACAGCCACGAGACGGGGCAGGGAGGGGTGGATGGTCTGTGGGATCCACAGGAGATTACGCAGGGGAAAGAGAAGGCTGCAGCTGGTGTTCAGTTGCAGCCCTCTGGACAGGACTGGGGGATTGAGTGTGAAAGAACACAGAAAGGCCTCTAATTTTAAGATCTTCCATTTCAAAGAATGAAAGATACCTTTAAAAAGAAAAAAAAGAGAGCAATGATGCGTTCTTACACCCACTTTACCTTCTAACAATCTTCATTTCTGGTACTCTTCTCACACCGATTCGTTCTTTCCATCCCCGAGCCCATATTAATTATAACCTTTGACCAAAATGCCAATTATCTGTTTTTTTTATTTAATATCCAGCTTCTTTACACATAAAGGCAAATGTTGACTGATATGGACTGTGTGCTTGGTTCAATTTGAAGCTTTATCTCCCGGTGCTCATCCGGGGTGGATTCATTCATTGATCACACAGGTCCTCTTGCAAGGATGCAGGAGCATAGAGCTGGACTGCTGGGATGGAGATGATGGCATGCCCATTATTTATCATGGACATACACTGACGACCAAGATCCCCTTCAAGGTAATGCTTCCCATCAGATCACAGGGACCTTGTCTCCATTAAGTTACTCCCTCTACAAATCATACCTTAAGTTAGAGGTTCTGGCGCTAGATCTGGAAGCCCTTCAGAGTGTTTGCAGTACTGTGGGGGCCATGAACAGGTTCAATTTTCTGGGATTTGATCAAGAACTCTTACTAGATCCCTTTTCAGCTAAAATTTTGATAACTGTTACCTCATGTCAAGACACAGTGATATTGTTGCTATTTCTTTTCATATAATATAATGATGAATAAAGACAGAGGCCATTCTCTTCCTAGAGAAACTGCAGGCCATTTATCCTGCTATCTGGGCTGACAAAGGAAAATATCATGGTGATGTCCTGATGTCAGGAGATAATTAAGTAATTGCCATTGGAAAGTAATAAGAACCAGTTCCACCTGAGAAGATCCATTGTCCCGGAAGACTGGCCTTATTGGATTATTTTACATGCTACATAATTTATTAGTTTAGCTATGCAGTTACTCCTCCCTCAGTGGGTCTTGAGCTACCTAACATCATTTTTCTCTGAGCTATAGCAAGGCTGGGAAGGAATACGATTATATGGAGTCAAAGCTAAAATGCATTTTTTCTCCAACTCATTTTCTATTTATCATTCATAAAGCTCTTGCACTGTATATTGGTGAATACTATGTCTACAGACATACATTAAAAGATATGGTGTGTGCCATGTTGCAGGATTAACTATTTCAGTGTATCTTAGGCTTCATTATATTATACGCTATAACAAAAACAATGTCTTTTACTTAAGGTATTCTTTCTTGATATACTAGTTGTTGTTTTTTTTTTCAATTCAACATAGTGATAGCTGTCCCTTGTAGTTTGGAACAAGGCTCAATATGAATAATTTGATGTCTTTATACAAAATAGTCTAGTCTTTTGCTTGGTTTACAAACACATTTGGCCCTCTGTAGCTATGGGCTCTGCAACCTTGGACTCAATCATACAATTATAGGTACAAATGTGAGGTAAAATTGTGTCTGTAATGAATTTGTATACATTTTTCTTGTTATTATTTTGAAACAATGTATTCACATTATACTAGGGATTCAAATAGAAATTATTTGAAGTACATGGGAGGATAGACTTATAGAGATTATATGTCAATATCATGTCATTTTTATGAGATCTGAGCATCATATAGATTTCTATCTGCAGAAGTTCTGTAATTCACCTCCCACAGATATAGAGAGATAACTACACTTTGGGAAAGAGAAAAACCACTTTTGTTCAAAATCTGCTGTATGTAACAATTAAGACACTTTCTGTGGCTCGGTACCAGCCTATTGACTACCGCGAACAGACACCTAACTCTAAGCAGCTATTTGGCTCTTACAGGAAGTAGTGGAAGCAATTGATCGAAGTGCCTTCATCACCTCTGACCTGCCAATCATCATATCCATTGAGAACCACTGTTCATTGCCTCAGCAACGAAAAATGGCAGAGATTTTCAAGGTGAGCTTCATCTAAGACACTATTGTCTTTCACTTGTTGGCAGTATCTATATAGGGCAGATGTGGACCACAACATAGCTGGACTTTAGCCATGAAGCATGTTCTGATAGGGTTCTACAGACCTGAAAAATGGCATTGCTCAGAAAGCTTAGGCTTGTCCTAGGATGGTCTCTCTTTTCAATATAGGTATTGTTTTCTGATCTCCTGGCCCTTTCCAGGAAGCCCAGGAGGTAAGGATAAACCAATTCTCCAATACACCTGATACTACCAGGAGAAATACAAAATGGCACATGGCAGTTGTACATGGAAAAACTGAAACTGTTTCAGGGAAAGTCATATATTCTGTGACCCACACTGTATTCTAGGGATCCAAGTTAACAAGTTTGACTGTTCAGAACAGTTTCTGTGTTAATAGTAAGCTTCTTTATACTAGGGAAATGTAATGCTGACAGATTAAGAAGGGGATATTCCATAAGACGCCCCCCTTCTCCAGAGAGAGAAGCATTTGTAGAAATGTAGTTCTCACAAAAGGAGGGAGCACTAACATGGAAATGTCCTCCAATATCAATACCAACAAAACTTTGGCTTTTCATATTGTCTTAGCCCACACTTGGAATTTTTTGTTCTTATTTATTTAAAAATAAAAAGTGTCATATTTTCTATCCTTGTCTTGAGCGATCACCCTGTGTCTACCCTCTACCCATGGTCTCCTTAAGAGAGACAGTCTTCTTTGGAGACCAGTGCTCATAAGTCCTTGTGAAAATGATACGTATTCATCATCCATTGTTGGAGCAAATGCTCCCTGTTGCTTCTTGTCTCTTCTGTTCACTTGCAAAGCCACAGCCACTCATCAAATCTCTGCTTGCTTTCTTCTTTAATACATTAGACTCTGGAACATTTTCCTAAGTCATCACAGCTGGCTCCCTCTACAGACTGACCTAGGTCTTCCCCCTTGCCCTGAACACATCCCTTCCTTCCTGCAGGAAACCGCCAGGAGAATAAACAACCTCTTCTGAAGTTCCTTTTCCTGGGACTTCTCAAACAATTCAACGAAGTTGAGCTATCCAGTGCGTTTAGGGAATGTAAATGTATTTGTCAAGTAGAGGTAGAAGGCATTAATGGCGTATTTTCCTTTGTGCTTTGTAGAGCGTGTTTGGAGAAAAGCTGGTGGCTAAATTCTTATTCGAGACCGATTTCTCAGATGACCCAATGCTTCCCTCACCTGACCAACTCAGGAAGAAAGTGCTTCTTAAAAACAAGAAGCTAAAGGCCCATCAGACGCCAGTCGACATCCTGAAACAAAAGGTACTCCTCTCTGGTTAAGCAAGTTAGGGATATGTCATGGGTTTGAGACAAGGAAATTAATGTCGTTTGGACTTTTCAAATGACTTTCTGAGTAGCTGTGAGCCTTGAGATTCCTCAACTGAAACATTTGATTTGGGGATTTCTAGTTCATAGACCAATAGATTCTCTCCTCCCACTAATCTAAGTTTTATTTTGTGGATTGTACCCATGTGAAATGTACCTCTGTTGTTTAATTTGTTCTAAGCGGGAGGATGTGTGAGCCCTGCCTCGGCCTCTTGAATGCTGGATGGAAAGTCTGGGCTCCCCATGCTTCCTATGCATTCCTAAGAACATTAAAACTCTTATCACATGTATAAGGATATAATTCCTATATCCTGAAGGCCTGCCTTCAGGACTACCAGTCCTGTAAGCCTTGGTGTAGTTCTCTTTAGGGGTTCCAGCCACCCTGAGATCACAGTGTGCCGTGGTGGCCTGTTGATCACAAGATTGGTTCCACTCTCAACCATCATGCAAGAGTTCTGTGCTTAATCCCCAACCTATACATACGGGTCCAGGATATTCCAGGAAGTGTCTTCAAATTGCCTTTTGATTAAACATCATGGCTTTTGAAAACTTAACATGTCTCTCATATTTTTTTCCTCTCATTTTTTAAAAGATGGTGCCTTGTTATAATGGCCCAGGCTGGCCTAGAACTCCAGTCCTCCTATCTCAGTGTCCTGAGTGCTGGGATAAAAGGTGTGAGCCTCTCATACAATTTATATTGATTTGACTTTTGGGGGACAAGTCTTTCTGGATACCCCTGGCTTACCTTGAGTTTCACAGCAGTCCTCTTGCCTCAGCCTCTAGAGAATTGGAATTGAAGGTCTGTGCTCCCAAGCATGCATATGCATATATATATATATATATATATATATATATATATATATAAACATTAAAAATCTTATAAAAGTTGAAACATTTACAGGATATAATTCCTATTATATCCTTTATTTATATCTATATACCTACAAATATTATATGCAAAATAGACCTCACTGCTGAATCAATCAGCTTTACTTTTAGACTTAATTTCTGTTGGAAAACTCTGAATTTTTTTTAAAAATTCAGATAAGCCTTATATTCTCATCCCTATGATGACCATCTTGATATAGAATTTTTACTTCAAGATAGGCAGACGTCAGGGAAAAGAGGAGGAAGTGACATTCGTCCTTGTAGGTATTTACCGGGTAGATACAATGGTATTCCCTTGTCTCCTTTACGTCCTTGGGACCTTCTCTCAGGTGCTGCACATTCTTGAGTGTCCCTTTTACCTGACCTCAAGCATCACACAGAGATGCTTCGTGGGTGAGAGCTCTGCCTCTCTTTAAACAGGATTGGACCCCTGAGAAAAATATAGGGAAGAGGGGAGTGAAGTCAGCTGTGCTCTTGTTTTCCAGTGAACCTATTGTTTAAATGATATATTCACACACAGAGATGCCGAAGGCCCAGATGTGGACTCCTTTAAAAAGTGCCCAAGAGAATGACGGCAAGATGGCTCAGCAATTGAGAGCACTGGCTGCTCTTCCAGAGAATTCAAGGTTCCATTCCCAGCTCACAACCTGCTGTAACTCCAGTCCCAGGGGATCTGGCACCCTCTTCTGGCCTCTGCAGGCACTGCACACACGTAATACATAAATAAATACGCAGACAAAACATCCCCACACATAAAAATTGTTTTTAATTAAGAAGTGCCTCAACCTACATATCCTTAGAAACAGCTGAACTCAGATGTACACATTCTACAACTGAAGACCACACAACCCCAAAGCAAGAGTTGTTCAATCAGTCACCTTCAGATGTCAGGCAGGAAAGACCAGCGTAAGGAGGCCCTGGAAACATGACAGATGGAAGTGTTGAGGGCAGACTGTGCATGCCCCCACAACTGAACAGCCCTAATCAAATTACTTTAAAATAACTTAAAATATTACCTCCACTGAGCACCCACAGTGTGTCCCTATAATTCTAGCTACCAAGGAAGCTGGGGCAGGACGACTACCACAGCCCAAAAACTGGGGATTAACCTGGGAAACACAGTGAGACCCCTATCTCTTTTAAGAATAAAAGTGTTGTTCTAATGGTTCTCAACCTGAGCGTCCAGACCCCCTTAGCAAACCTCTGTTTCCAAAAAATATTTACATTATGATCCATAACAGTAGTAAAATTACAGTTATGAAGTAGCAACAAAAATCAAAAGGTCACAACATTAGGAGGGTTGAAAGCCACCACACTAGCCAAAAAAGTCTGTTGTGGAGCTGAAGTTCCCCCAAGGCCCCAAAAGTTTCAAATCTTCTCTAAGAGCATCTCACTCTAAGGCTTCTCCAGGCAACTGGTGTTTGCTTCATTTCCGAAAGCTGTAAGAACTGTATGTGGGCTTTGTAGTGAAGCTTTATAACTAAGGTGGTAACATGTGTGCGTATACTCTAACTGGTCTTCCTTAGATGTCAGTGACTGGCCACCCAGCAGGGGATGCTGTTTCTGCCAGAACACTGTTCCCACACACTATTTCCTTTCCTCCTCCTCCCCCACCATCTTCTCAGTTTTTATTTTATATATTTTATTTTGTTGTATACAGGTCCATTGTTTAAAAGAAAAACAAGAGCACAGGAGTAGGGTGAGGTAGAAGAAGCAGCTAATATAGAATGCATTACCAAGCGCAGAGTAGCATAGTTCAGCACGGATGGTATGTGTATAAAAGGAGAGCCGAAAGAATGCATACTGCTTCAAAGAGGGAGCGGGGAAGAAAGGGACTCGGGAAGGAGGCACTAGATAGAGTGGGAAATGCTGCACCGGAGATCATGACACCCTTTAGCATGTTTACTGAAGGCTGGAGAGCCCTGTGTTCTGAGGTGTGTTTGGCTAAGCTGCTGTTCCCAGGCTTGCCTTGCATTTTGTGGCTAAGCTCTCAGTTTTTCCACACTAGCCATTAGCACCCACAAAGCTCCCTAGACCCACTTTGAGAAATCTGAGCCTGGACAGTGAGCATTTAATAATCTAGGTGTCCAGCCCTGTAGAGTATTGAATCGTGACGTGAACACAGCCTCCACTGCATCTTACCTATTTGTACATTTTTTTACAAAGGTAATACAGCCTCATTTAAAAAAAAAAAAAAACAGGGAAGTGTTTAAGTGTTTAAGTGGCTAAGCATGTAAAAGCACATGTAGTCAAGCTTGACATTAGTTCACTTCCCTGGACCCATATGGTGGAAGGAAAGTACCAACTCCCTGGAGTTGTCCTTTGAACTCCATACCTATGATGACATGAATTCACACACACACACACACACACACACACACACACACACACACACACACACACAGTACAACAAAATAAAAAAATGTAATTTCTAATTTTGTTAAATGTTTAAAAATTAAAATTAATGGCAAGATGGCACACACCTTTAATCTCAGAATTTGGGAGGCATAGGCAGGTGGATCTCTGAGTTTGAAGCCAGATTGGTTTACAGACCGAGGGCCAGGACAACCAGAGCTACACAAAGAAGCCCTGTCAAGGAAAAAATTCATAACTTTGGTAACATTCATAGCTACAAGTTAGGGGATCTGTCTTAACTAGGTTTCTATTGCTGTGGTAAAATGCCATGACCAAAAGCAGGTTTTGGAGAAAGGTGTTTAATCTAGCTTCCAGCTCTCAGGTCACAGTTCATTGTCAATGGAAATCAGAACAGGAACTCAAGATAGAAACCTGGAGGCAAATGCCGATGCAAAGGCCATGGAGGAATGCTGCTTACTGGCTTGTTCCTCGTGGCTTGCACAACTTGATTTTTTTTTTCTACCACCCAGGACCACCAGCCAGGGATGGCACCACCCACAGTGAGCTGGGCCCTTTCACATCAGTCATCAATCAAGAACATGTTCGATGAGCTTGCCTACAGGCTCTATAGGCTGTCTAGAGGCCAATCTGATGGGCACATTTTCTCAGTTGAGGTTCCCTCTTCCCTAATGACTGCAGCTTATGTCAAGTTGGCATAAAACTAGCCAGCATAGAGTCCAAGAGTAGAAATGAAAGCAAACCATGTCTTTACTTTCTTTTGGTTTTTTATGTTAACGAAGGAGAGAGTTCACATGTGGAGGTCAAAGGACACCTTCAGGAGTTAGTTTTCTCCTTCTAGCATGGGATCCAGGAATCCAATCCAGGTTGCCATGTTTGTGTGGCAAGTGTTTTTAGTCACTGAGCCATTCTGTCAGCTCATGTCTTTACATGCACTCATTTCTAATTTAGCAATTCCCCTGATTATAAATATGGGGGGAAACCAAGTAGCTTAGGCAATACCTAATGTATATCTTTTTCACTGGGAGAAATGACAGCTTTCTTAACTCATAGATGTTGATAATACCACCAAGAATTATTTATGTTCATCCTGTATTCAAAAATATCACTTGACCCACTATTACATGTTTTGACACATTTCCTAATTTTTGTTTTAATGATTTATTTTTATTATCTTTAATTATATGTGTGCGTGCGTGTGTGTGTGTGTGTGTGTGTGTGTGTGTGTGTGAGAGAGAGAGAGAGAGAGAGAGAGAGAGAGAGAGTGCTTGTGCACATACTGTAGGTGTAGGTACTTGTGGGAGGCCAAAAGCATCAGATCCCCCTGCAGTTGAACTTACTATTTTTAAAAAAATATTTTTGTATTATTTTATGTATATGAGTGTTTCTTTTGCATGTATTTTTATTCGCTGTGAGCACACCTGGTGCATCAGATCCCCCAGAACTGGGGTTATGAGTGGTTATGAGCTACCACATGGGTGCCGGGAATCGAAACCAGATCTTTTGCAAGCACAAGCACTCTTAGCTGCTGAGCCATCTCCCCCAGGCCTGGAACTGAGCATCTACATATGCACTCTTGACCACTGAGCCATCTGTTCAGCCCCAGGTTTCCTAAAATTTCTAAGCCTGTTTCGTTATTTTGATTTATAGTTCTGATAACGTCTGTTGAAAAAGTGTTTTCTAAACTAGCAACTGTTCTTTTGGTCTGCTTGTCCACAGGGATTCTAGCATTGTTCTCAAGGTCAGAGGACTTTCAATATTATTTTAAGACAGAAAAAAAATTAGTTTCTTAGCTGAGACTTCCTGCTCTAAAATTGATGGGCTGTTTCACTCAGTCCCTTGGGACTGATGCTAGTTTTCCAAGCATTAGAGTTTTCTCTTGCAGGACTTCCCAGAGAGCCTAGGAATCCAGACACCACACGAGTTTCTTGTGATTGTTTCTAAAAGCTCCCAAGTTCTTCAAGGATGTTGACATTCACCTAAAAAGCTGTATCTAGAGTTTTTAGGGTCCAAGACTGGGCTATGGCTTCCCCAACAAACTAAGCTCAACCAGTGGCCCTCAATGTGTCAATTAGAAGCACATGTATTGATGTAAAGCAATGAGAAGAGATCTATTTGGTGTGACTCCCCTGGGAGAAAGAACAGATGGAGGAACTCAGTGACCTCAAGTCCATGTTCAGGACACTGGCAGGAACTTTAGCTTTACATGGAAGGAGAGAGTGTGCACTGTTAACCAGTCCGGTCAATGGTGTGGTCAAGCTCATCATTGTCTCAGCATGGACCTGTCAGGTGGTCCGAAGAAGTCCTTATTCCTTGAGGGACAATGAGATTCTTGGGAGAGTACTGCTGATTCAGGGAACAGTCTTCCATCCTGGATACCTGCCCTTATCTGGGGGCGGGGGTCTGTTCCGTGAGGTTCTGCTGTTCTGGGAACCCAAGGTGACTTAAGAGGAAAGGTTAAGGCTAGTGGCTTCTCTCTATTCCTTAGCCTTGATGGGAGATGAGACAGGTTAGGTGGACACTGCCTGAGTGATTATCATGCCCGTGTGCCGAGTGAAGCGAGTAACTCCAAGTAGAGAAGCCAGATACAAAATGAAATCCAAGATGCTACTCTGGTTTTCGTTATCTGTGGGCCCAAATGAGGAATGAAAGCCTCAGCAAGGGCCTTTCTATTGCATCCTCTCTCAAAAGAACCCAAAGGGACAATCCACTTTCATCAATCTAGTAAGCACTAGGTGGTGGTTTTAAAGGTTAAGTTGCATGCACAGTCTTTAATTATTACTGTTTTACAGGCTCATCAGTTAGCATCCATGCAAGCACAGGCTTTCACTGGTGGGAGTGCCAACCCCCCACCTGCCAGTAACGAGGAAGAGGAAGATGAAGAGGATGAATATGATTATGATTATGAATCCCTTTCGGATGGTAAGAGAAAAAGAGCCTGCTTCTGTGAGCAGGGAAATGCTTAGGTAATTTTTCTTCCCCCTGCCCCCCAAAAAAATAAATCTGGAACTCCATAGATAAACAATAGAGATGATTTTAAAAATGTCTGGGAGTTTGAAAATCCAGTCACTTAGTGAGGACCAGGGAAGAGCAGGGGCTCTGTTAAGCGTCACAACCACACTCCAGGAAGATAAGGACAGCACAGGAAGCAGAGGTGGAGGGGCCATGGGGGTGTCTTTCCTAACATGGGCTTGTAGAGGAAGAGGTGGAGTAATAGCAGAAAAACACATTTTCAGCCTTTGAGTTTCTGGAGTGGTAGAAGCTCTTGGCATTCGTTTCAGACTGTGCCTAAATCCTCCCCACCCCCCAACCCGCCCCTCGACATCTGCAAGCCACAGCTTCACTGCCCAGTGCTCTCGACCACATTGTCATACTGTCCCTCTGGTAGTCTGTCACCAAGAAGAGGAGCATCTGTCTCCTTCCTCCCTGTTCTCAGGTTACTAAACAAACAAGACATTTCTGTCCAGCCCCACTGAAGAGAAAACCATGAGCATGGCTAATGACACAACTTTTAAAAGTCAAATAAGTCATGTTAACTAAAGGTTCCTAGTGAAGCGTTCTTCTGAAGTCAGAACTCACACATATTAGTGTCATTAGCAGGAGATTGCAAAATGTTTTCTCCCACAGCATTACTAAGGGCCGGTTTTCACTTTGCTGACCTCTAAAAGGCAACAGTATTCCCATGAGGAAATCTCAAGGTTTCTATTTGTATAATTTTTTTTAATGAGACCTAATTCTTTGTTTAGTCCTGGCTGACCTGCAAGTCTTGATCCTCCTAATTCCATCTCCTACATAGTATTATGTATTGGGCTGAGGGTTTGGCTCAGTGGTAGAGCCTTTGCCTCCTATAACAAAGGCCCCATGACCCCTGACACACACATGCTGCTTAAGGTAGACTATTTGCTAACAGTGTAGTTGTTCCCATACTAGTAACCATTTCCCATTGATGTAAGACCACCACCACATGCCAGCTTCTCATACTCGTTTGTTTCCAATCATGTTTCAGTTCAGAGCCTTCATTACTGGTGACAGTCTAGTTGTGTTCTGACCTAAAACATAATACTAAGCGATATCCATTTAATTTTTAGCCTTCATAATAGTTGACTGTTTCATGCCATCAGTTAAAGGCCTAAGTATTTGATCTAAAATACCATGAGGTAATAAAAGGGATAAAATTTGAATGGAGTCAAGGCAATCTATTAACATCCTAGTCCTAAAAAGTCATGAGAATATGAAATGTTATATATTGACACATTAACCTCATGGAAATGCCAGGGAGCAAAACAAATTGATTCAGAGATTAAAATGAGAAATTATACTTAAGAAATCAGCCAGTCTGCTGCCTTTAATCCCAGCACTTGGGAGGCAGAGGCAGGCAGATCTCTATGAGTTCGAGGCCAGCCTGGTCTATAATTCAAGTTCCCAGACAGCCAGGGCTACACAGAGAGACTCAAACACAAAACAAACACCAAAACAAAAAAAGAAAGAAAGAAAGAAAGAAAGAAAGAAAGAAAGGAAGGAAGGAAGGAAGGAAGGAAGGAAGGAAGGAAGGAAGGAAGGAAGGAAGAAAGAAATCAGTCAACCCAGATGTTATTTTTTTCCTGTAATAAGTTGGTCTACCAGAATATAAATTCTTCTCAATCATTAATTACTCTTGGGCTTTTTTGTACTTTTGAGAACAGGAATTTGGGCTTTTAAAATTATTGTTCTTAAGCCAGGCATTGGTGGCACACGCCTTTAATCCCAGCACTCGGGAGGCAGAGGCAGGCAGATCTCTGTGAGTTCGAGGCCAGCCTGGTCTCCAGAGCAAGTGCCAGGATAGGCTCCAAAAGCTACACAGAGAAACCCTGTCTTGGTATTTATTCATTTATTTATTTATTTGCAAATGGCAAAACGAACAGAGGAGAGAAAGATCTTTCTGGTTTAGTTTTGCACAGGGGAGTAAAATTTATCTCTGCTTCCCATTAATTTTTAATTAGTCCCATTGGTTGTATAAAGCTGGGGTAGAGCTTTTGTTGAAAGTGGAGGCCCACCAGGCTCTACTCCCATGGCATATGAGACTTTGGACAATGACTTTTCACCCCTGTGAACCATAAGTCCCTCTGATATGTCATGAAAAAGTTCGGTCGAGTGTTTGGTGATTGCTCCCCACTCTGCCCCACGTACAAACACTTCCAACACAAACATCTGGGATCTATGACAGCTGAAGTTCACTGTCACAGTTATTTCCCATTTCACTTAAAAGTTCCCTCTGGCTGGCTGACTTCCAAATAGGCCTTGAAGTTATGGCATGCCTTGTGAAATTTGTCCTATGACAGCTCACATAGGCAACCATTAAATGCCTTAGCAAGCATATGATTTTGATGGTGGTTGCAGTGCCTCTCTCATCTCTCTGAGTTTAATTAAAGCTGTATCAGGAATGTTACAGTCCTCACTAACTAGTAATAGGAATGAACAGCTTATGGCATGATTAGCATTAACAATGTTTGCTTTTTTTTTTTTTTTTTTTTTTGAGACAATGTCTCATACAGCCCAGACTGTCCTTGAATGCTCTATGTAGTTGAAGACGACCTTGAACTCCTGATCCTTTTGTATCCACTACCCAAGGACCAGGATTGGCTGCATTTCCATTATTGCCAGTCCTTGTATTTGTGGCAGTCAAGATATGAGGCCTCTGAGTCACTTCCTATTTCACTCATCTTTCGATCTAAGCCGACCTAACCGGTGCTTTGTGCCACACCTTCAGTTGATTTATCTGGCTCAGTCTTAATTCTCCTTACCTGTATTTTCTTTCTGATTCTGTTTTCTCTGTAGCAGATGTCCTTACTGCTTCCCCTCTTCCTAACAGTCAGGAAGGTAAACACCGTTTGAACCGGTATTTTAACTGCATGGATGTCCGAATTAAGTCTCTACTGTCTTGGGTCTGGTTAGCATGAAGTTGTGACACTTCTGTGCATAGAAATGCGGTGAAATTGTTAACCTCTTGGTAAGCTGCATGGCCCTGACTTGCTATAAGGAGATCTTGGTCTAAGCATTTGTAGTCCAAAAAGATAGTAAATCTGGAATGAGATCTTAGCTCTCTCGTTTTTTCACTTTAAAAGAGTACAATCATGATATAATTCTTAGACTTTTACATTTGTTCTGAATAGAGATGCCCTTATCTACACATAGAAATATTTGCATTTTGGGGGCTGGAGAGATGGCTCAGTGCCGAAGAGCACTGGCTACTCTTCCAAAGGACCCGGGTTCAATTCCCAGCACCCACACGGCAGCTCACAGCTGACTGTAATTTAATTCTGTGGAATCTGACACCTTCATATAGATATACATCCAGGCAAAACACCAATGCACTGAACATAAATAATTTTTTAAAAATGTATTCTTAAGATGCAATTTTTATAACTTTATAACTTAAAAATTTATGACTTAAAAACAACAATCATGAAAACTTTATTTTCCAATTAATTTACATTAAGGAAACTTTGCATCATACATAGCAATACGTCTTCTCCCATGAATACTGGCCTTGACATTTCAAGAAGCTTCATTTCAAAGGAAGGCTGGTGAACTCATGAATGCACCACCTAGAAGTGGTGCCATTCGATCGCCCCAGACCTGTGAGCTGACAGCCTCTTGACAATGGATTCCACCAGCTGTGCAAGATGAGCCTTCTCACTTAGATTATGTCTATATGGTACCAGAACTACTGGTAAATGAGCCCATAAAACCAAGGCTAAATATATAACCCAAGTTTTAAATTGTGCTTCAAGCCATCATTTTAGTAATGCATAGCCGGCGCCTCAGTCTTGTAGATCCTCGCAGGTGGCTGGACACCCTCACACAAAGCCCTGAAGGTTCTTCCTCACTGAAGCCTGATTGCTCATTTTCAGACAATATCCTGGAAGACAAACCTGAAAACAAATCATGTGCTGATAAGCTTCAGTTTGAGTACAATGAAGAAATCCCCAAGAGGATCAAGAAAGCGGATAGCTCTTCTTGCAATAAGGGAAAGGTAGGAGACAGCTTCTTCTTTATGTGGCTCTTGGAACTTGGTAGTCTGTCCCTTTCTTCTGGGACTCCACTCCCCTCCCTTTCTCACTCAGTTTCCCTCAGATGCCAAAGGCCACATGGAGATGTCACAAGACACCTGTCTGCCACTTGTCATTATTTCACCCAGCCAATACCTACTAGAGGTATCTGTGTGGCAGGCACTGGAGTGGTAAAGGGTAGGGATGGTTTAGTGGTAAATTATGTTTGCAGATTAGAAAAAAAAAAAACATAGTGATCTCACTGTATTGTCGGAAGATCGAGAACAGGCTCTCATGGAAGATGCTGTGTAAGAATAAAGTTTTGCCCAAGTCCAAAGAAACAGGGCATTCAGGCCAAGAGGACAATTTGGTTGTTCAAGAAATTGTAAGAGGTTTTTAAGTCATTTACACCAAGAAGATAAAAGGAAAGCAGATTATGAAGAGTTAGCAAAAGTAACACAGAGACCAGAAAGACACATGCAGCATCCAGGCCTCGCCCTCAGGTACCTCACAGCTACAGTGTCAAAAATGTGAGCCAAAGCTCATAAATCATCAATCCTCTATTAATTCAACCAACGTGTATAAACTTATATTATCTATAAGATAATGGATTCCGTCATGAGAGACAGGAAGGATGAACCAGACATACCCCTTTCCCTCAGAAAGGTGCTGGCATAGGAGTGTGAAGAAATGCTGAGTATGGGGAAAGTCTAGAGAAAGTGCTTTGGGGATCCAGAGTGAGGGGACTCCATCTTCTGGTAAAACGGTGTCATTTTCCCTTGAAAGGTGTATGACATGGAACTGGGGGAGGAGTTTTACCTCCCTCAGAACAAAAAGGAAAGCAGACAGATTGCACCAGAGCTCTCTGACCTCATCATCTACTGCCAGGCAGTAAAATTTCCAGGTAAGAGTAGTCAATAACCATCTCTAATATTTAAAGTCACTAAAGAATGAAAGTGTACTATTTAATGGGGTATGGTATTATGATATACCTTGAAATAACTGAATGGTGTGACTGAAATAAATAATTCCCATAGATGATCTCTGACTTTCCACAATAATTCTCCAAGGTTAGTGGATTTCCACTTGTACTTCTCAAATGATTTGTTTATTTTTATTTTATGTACAGGGGTGTTTTATCTGTGTGAATATATGTGGTACTTTCAGACACTAGAAGAAGGCATTGACTCCCTTGGAACTGGAGTTATGGACACCTGTGAGCCGCCACGTGGGTGCTGGGAACTGAACTCAGGTCTTCTGTTAGAACAGCAAGTGCTCTTCACTGGTGAGCCATCTTCTCAGCGTCCTCCTACCCAGTTTTAAATAAAACAAATTCTGAGACACAACAAGTAATTTCACCAAGATTTCAGAACATCCTTGTAAAGAGTCTTATTTGAAAACTACAGAAACTGACCTAAGCAAAGAAAGAAATTTGGCAGCTGATGTTCTTTTTAAAAAATGTAGCACGGGGATGGATAATCAATTCTCCAGTCCAGGCCAGTTCAGGGCACACCCCTTCCCTCTGTCATTCTCCTACTGGCCACTGTGTTTAAGAGGGGAAGTCATAGCCAACTAGTGCTTAATGTGATGAGCTGCCTCAAAAAATGTATTCAGTCGGGTGGTGGTGGCACACACCTTTAGTCCCAACACTTGGGAGGCAGAGGCAGGCAAATCTCTGTGAGTTTGAGGCCAGCCTGGTCTACAGAGTGAGTGCCAGGACAGCTAGGAATGTTACATGGGGAAACCCTATCTCAAAAAGAAAGAAAGAAGATAAAAAGAAGGAAAAGAAAAAGAAAAATGGATTCAATTCATTTAATAAATGATAGTTCTATGAATGTATCTGTCTGTCTCCAAAGCCCTCCCTAAACTGCATCTACTCTCCCTTTCTCATCTGGGTGTATTATCAGTGTTTTATCAACCCAATTGTGTGTCCCATAAGTGGAAACCAAGAGGTAAAAAAAAAATAAGAATAAGTAAAAAGGTAGAAGTCAGCAAAAATAATCTCATGAAGAACAAATAAAAAACTCGTGTGTCCAAGAACTCTGAGGAGGGGAAAGAGCTAGTATTGGAAGATGTGTCTGAATGTCAGTGTATAGGGCATATAAAGTTGGCCAGGACACAGGAGTCAGAGTGCCAACCCTCATCTTTTCAAGATGTGCTGAACTCAGGTCCTGGCAAGTACCACTTCTCATACTGCACCTGGCAACAGGGACAGAGAATATCTTGTATAATATTGGAGACTTAGATCTTAAGATGATAGTGTCCATATTACACACCATATGAAAAACAAAAAATCACAGAATTTTCTCAATTTTAAGTTTCCTTCCCGAAACTATAAAACTTTTGGCAGTTGCTACTGCTCATCTGCTAGTAAATCCTGTTGAAGTGGATATGAATGAATGAATGAATGAATGAATGAATGAATGAATGAAGAATGAATATGCAGCAAATATATCAAAAACATACAAGAAGGTAGCATTTAAACTTAGTTTTATGTGGTTGGAGAGATGGCCCAGCAATCTCTTGCATAGGACCCAGGTTTGGTTCCCACAACCTACATTAAATGGCTCACAACCACCTCTAATTCCAGTTCCAGGAGATTCAATGCCTTCTTCTGGCCTCTTTGAGCACCAGGTATCCACATGTTGTACACATACACAAATAGGCACACATACATACACCTAAAACGTTGAATGTTTTAGTTTCATGGGGCATGACTTATGACACATAAGTAAGTATGGCGTGGTTGCACTTATACACCAGCGATGTTCATCTCATCATAGAGGAAGAAAGTTAACCTGTCAGCATCAGATCAAGCGTGAGAGCCATATTGTTCAAGAATCAACACAAGCACTATAATCCTAGCACTCAGGTGGCAAAGCCAAGAGAATTGCCACAAGTTGGAAGCCAGTATGGTCTAATGTAGTGAATTCTAGACCAGTCTGAACTATAGAGTGAGCCCCTGTCTCAAAAAAAAGATAGAAAGAAAGAATGAAAGAAAGGAAGGAAGGAATAAAGAAAGAAAGAATATCACTATTGCTTCATGTTTCATTCTTTATAAATAACACTAGAAATATAGAAACAATGCAACTGGCTTTGTCTTTTCTCAAGGACTGAGGAAACTGGGAGCCCAAATTCCCATGGATATTTCAATTTAGTGGTAAAGATAAAATTATGCCAAATAGAGAATTATGATAGTGTCAGGGAGCCATTTGGTCCAACCCTGACTTGAAGTGTAACATGAGCATGTAGTTGTTTTTTGTTTGCTTGTTTGGTTGGTTTGGTTTTTTGTTTTGATTATATAGCTTTGGCTGTCCTCTGTATAGATCAGGCTGGACTTGAACTCATAGAGATCCACCTTGCCTCTGCCTCCTAAGTGCTTAGATTAGAGGCATGCACCACCACACCAGCCTATTGATCCTCATGTATTGTTTTAAAACATTTACAAAGCATGTATTATTTCCTTAAGATTTTATTTTTATTTAGGGGTGTGTGTGTGTGTGTGTGTGTGTGTGTGTGTGTCCCAGCAGATGAGACAAGGGCCTGGGATCCTCAGAGTTGGAATAACAAGCTATTGTTAGCCATCTGCTGTGGGTATTGGAAACTGAATGCAGGTCCTCTGCAAGAGCAGCAGGTGCTCTTAGCCACTGATCTGTCCCTCTGACCTGACACAGCACATACTTTACAGGCTGTTTGTTAGCAATTGAAGTTTCTCTACCCCATCTATAATTTTATGTCCTTTCTCAGAATAACTAAAATTATGTTCTTGCATTACTGTTATAATAACCTCTAAAAAATTAACTGCTTTTATAAATTTTTCTTATGTACATGTCGTGACCCAGCATGTCTCAGCCTTAGTCCATGGGGTTCTACCTGAGTGGGGGGTGTGAATATGGAAGCTCCAAGCAACCCAATGGTGATAAAGACCAAACACAGGCATCTTGTCATCTTCAGAGAGCTCTCAGTTCCATGTTGTGGAACTAGAGTCATTTCTTTATTAGCCATCTTTTCTGGTGTTTTTTAACCATCCTGCTAATATCACGAGGCAACCATTTCTCTCTTTGTTCCCTTGCTGCTCTGGCTGCTCTCCTCTCTTCCTAACCTTCTATATTCACAAGTTATTCACATACCTGTCTTCGGAGCTTTCCAGTGCTCCATGTTTAGTGAGATCCAAGGCTGAATCTCAAAATATTCTATAGCGGAAATACTTTGGTCCCCCACATGTACTTGAGTGTAACAATAAGTCTTTACTCCATCCACCCGAGCCCTGCCGCCACGTGGGCACCCAGAATAACACACAGAGTCTTATATTGGTTTACAATGCTGCTGGCCAATTGACTAGGATTTCTTATATGCTAGCTCAGTCTTAATTATCTTAAATCTATATATTTTATAAGACTTATCGAGGACGTCCTCTTCCCGGGATCACATGGCGGCTCCGTAGAGAAGAGAGCAGGAGCTTATATTCTAAGTCTGCCTGCTATGTTACTTCCTGCCTGGATCTCAAGACTTTACTACATTTCCCAGAATCCTCCTTGATTCGAGTCGCACCTATCTTTCTTTCCTATTGGCCAACAATATTTTATTTATCAACCAATAAGACAAACATGTCCACAGGACATTCCCCATCATATGAGGAATTATAAAATGTTTATTTTGTTACCTTACTGGTTTTGTGTTTGATAAATTAATAAGTTACCATCTCAGTTTCAGTGAATCTCACTTTTCAGCATTATCTAGTGTGGCCCCAGGAGCACAGGCCTATGGTCTAGCTGCTTCAAAGGCTGAGGCAGAATTGTGAATTGGAAGCTTGTCTACAGAAGGCCATCCTAGGCAACTTTAAATGATCTTTCTCAAACCAAAAAAAAAAAAAAAATCGGGATTATTAGCTCAGTAAACTTTTCTGGCATTTGTGAAGACTGAAAGATTAAAATACACATGTGAGCACACACACACTCACACACAAGGTTCCCTAAGAGTAAAATAACCTAGCAAGGCAGTGGTAGCACATGGCTTTAATTCCAGCACTCAGGAAGCAGAGGCAGATCTCTGTGAGTTCCAGGCCAGCCTGGTCTACAAAGCAAGTTCCAGGACAGCCAGGACTATTAAATAGAGAAACCCTGTCTCAAAAAACAAAAACAAAAACAAAAACAAAAATTCACAGTTGTGAACCTATTCAGTGGCCCAGCAAGAAGTAGAGCTTGGGTGTCTCAATTCCCAGGGCTGTGTTCTTTCTTAGGATTAGGGAAATAACTGAAGCTCTTTATGTTTATATTGGCTATAGGATTTGTTTCTCAGTTACATTCAATCCATACACCTCCATAGCTTTTCTTCCTCCTTCTAATAGGAAAAGGGGGGCATGGTATTTTCTCATGTTGCCCACCTTCCTAATTTGTGAATACTTCCCAGCAAGCTTCCCTATATGCCCACCTCTCATCAGACATGTACTGTGGTCTTTATCATAGTCTGGCCTTCTGTTCAGACAGAAGATACTCAGGGTTAGGATGCAGCTCAGTGGCTGAGTGCTTGCCAGCATGCACAAAGCCCTGAACCAACCAGTATCATAAAGAATAAATAAGAATGTTCTCAGCTTGGCCCATCCTCCCTAACCACTTTTACCAATGCTCAAACTCCAAGGCCAAGAGTCTTGATGAAGAATCTGAGAGTCTTCAGTCCATCATGGTGTCTTCTTTTGCAGGCCTCCATGCATTTATAATCATGTGTTTATGTTCCTAATTATTTAATTAATCTCTAATTATTTCTGATGGCAAATATCCTTAGTACTTACCGTGTGTGTGTGTGTGTGTGTGTGTGTGTGTGTGTTTATCCCCTTCTTGGAATGTGAAGTCCCTCCCATTTAAAAAAATATATGTATGGGTATTTTGCCTGCCTGTATGTCTGTGTACAGTGCCCCATTTCCAGTCTCCAAGTTCACTGTCTACACATGGTACACAATCATACAGGCAGGCAAAATACTCATAAATAATTTTTAATGGACTCTGCATCCCAAGAAGGGACCAGTGTCCAGTGTGTGTGTGTGTGTGTGTGTGTGTGTGTCCAGAGAAATATTAGATGACAAAGTCATTAGGCAAGATTTATTCTGGCTGTTGTCTGTGACTTTGTCCAACACCAATACCCTCTTTGAGCCTCAGTTTTCTGAACCCATTGTCTGTGCTCCCCCCTCATTGAAAATAGATTATTTTCACATCAATATATACTGATTACAGTTTTCCTCCCCCCACTCCTTCCAGTGCCCCCTCCACTAAATCTGGATCCCGTTCTGTCTCTCATTAGAAAACAACAGGCTTCTAAGAAATAGCAACAGAACAACACAATAAAATATAGTAAGATAAAACAAAAACCATCACATCAAAGTTGGGCCAGGAAAACCAACAGAAAGAAAAGAGCCCAAGAGAGGACACAAGAACCAGAGACCTGCTCGTTCACATACTCTAATCCCATAGAAACACTAAACTGAAAGCCATAACATACACAGAAGACCTGTTGCAGACCTGTGCAAGCCTTGTGCTTGCTTCTTCCATCTCTGTGAGTTCATATGACCTTTGCTCAGTTGATTTAATGGGTCTTGTTCTCAAGGGGCACTCTATCTGCCTCATCTTCCACAGGGTTCTAAGTATTCCAGAGTCAGTCAGTCAGTCAGTCAGTCAGTCAGTCAATCTCCAGTCTCTCTCTCCCTCTCCCTCTCCCCCTCTCCCCCTCTCCCTCTCCCTCCCTCCTTTCTCCCCCCCCCCCCCCCCTCTCCCCCCCCTCCCTCCCCCTCCCTCCCCCCCCCCCCCCCCTCTCCCCCCCCTCCCTCCCCCTCCCTCCCCCCCCCCCCCCCCTCTCCCCCCCCTCCCTCCCCCTCCCTCCCCCCCCCCCCCCCCTCTCCCCCCCCTCCCTCCCCCTCCCTCCCCCCCCCCCCCCCCTCTCCCCCCCCTCCCTCCCCCTCCCTCCCCCCCCCCCCCCCCTCTCCCCCCCCCCCCCCTCCCCCCCCCCTCTCCTTCTCCCCCTCTCCCTCTCCCTCCCTGTCTCTCCCCCTCCCTCTCCCTCTCCCTTTCCCTCTCCCTTTCCCTCTCCCTTTCCCTCCATAATGTGGCTGTGGATATCTGTGTTTGTTCCCATCTGCTGCAGGAGGAAGCCTCACTCACGATGGCTGCATCTATGAGTATAGCAGGATATTATTGAGGGTCATTTCATCACTCTTTTTTTTTAAGTAGTATTTGGATTTACCTTTGGTCCCTGGGCTATCTGGACCCTGGTTCTTGGTCATGCCAGCAGTGTCAGATACTGATCATCTATACTGTTAAACACTTCTGTCCTTTCTCTGCTGGCGTTCCTTCCATTTTCTGAAGACCTCCCAGCTGCTGCAGAATGTGGAGTCATTCTCTAACAGCAATAAGGATGAGTTCATGTCAACTAGCCTCCTTGGAGTCTTTAAGTCACTCTTCTTATACTAGAGTTGGGTCTATGTGGTAGGCACTCATTTTCTCACTCAGCAAATATGAACTGAGTTCCTGCTGTGCACCAGGCACTGTGCCTGCCACAAAGGGCCCAGGAGTAATTGGACCAGGAGTGAGAAAGAAAACCCATAAAACATCATCATTATATCTTTCCCACTGAACCTTCAGACTGCTCCTATGAGTAAGTTCCTATAGTCACACTCCTTTTTAGATAAGAAAAAACCTATGGTTTGGTCAAAAATCATGCCAGATGGATTTTTAAATTTTTTGTGTTTTTTTTAATTATAATTACATCATTTCCTCCTTCCCCTTTTGCCCTCCAAACCATCCCATATTATCCCTCCTTTTTCACTTTCAAGCTCACAGCCTATTTTGTTTTTTACTGTTGAGTGTGTGTGTGTGTGTGTGTGTGTGTGTGTGTGTGTGTGTGCATGTATGTATATTCCTAAATATGTAGTACAACCTGCTTGGTCTGTATACTGTTACTTGTATATATGTTTTGGGGGCTGACCATACAAGTATTAGACAACCAATTGATGTGCTCTTCACTGGGCATAACTATTTCTCCCTCTTTCAGCATTTTTTAATTGACCAGTACAGAAAACCACATCCAATCAGAAGGCAGAGTTGTGGAGCCTGGTCCCAAAGGATATATCTATAAAACAACTCCTGTACCTAAGGCTCAGGGATCATTGTGGAAGAGGGGCAGAAAGATTGTAACAGCCAGAAGACTTGAGAATTTACTATGAGATTGTGTCTCCTGGGAAGAAGCTACACCCATACTCTCACCAATGTGACTGTCTAAACTTGAGCTAAACAAAGACAACAATAATAAGTTAAGCATACTAATATGGATGGATGAAAGCCCACAAGGCCTTAACAAAGAATACCAGAAGGCTTATAATGTCGACAATATTGTGCCCTGGCTCATATTCATCCTTTCATCTCCCCTAGTTGAATTGTTAGCTCTAGGAATTAGATCTTAACTGTTGCATATTCCCTAAGTGCAATGCTTGTGTGTGTGTGTGTGTGTGTGTGTGTGTGTGTGTGTGTGTTGTAATTTGGGGATTACTCTTTAATAACCATGCAATGTTTGTTGCATCTGTCTAGAAATTAAATAAACTTTGCTAGAATTGCCTACAATACTATTATCAACCATGTTAAAGTGTAATGGGTCTTCTGTGCTGTGTAACAAGGGAATAGTAGGACTTCAATATAAACATTAACAAGGATGGAAAATGTTGAGCTCTCTTGCCTGTGGCTTTTGGCTTATTTATTTTCTTTTTATGAGAACAGGCCTGTCAACTCTAAATTCATCTGGCTCTAGCAGAGGGAAAGAAAGGAAAAGCAGGAAGTCCATTTTTGGCAACAATCCTGGCAGAATGAGCCCAGGGGAGACAGCATCCTTCAACAGAACATCTGGAAAAAGTAAAGCCACCTTCTCTCGGTGTTTTCGCTTGGTCCTGCATACTGGGTGACTCAGACACTTCTCTGTCTAACCACTTCCCTTGAATTTTGAAATTCACTTTTATTTTCAGAGATGTTTACACAATCCAAGTACAACATAAATATTTTTGATTATTAATTTATTCTCTTAACTCACTAAAAATAGCATTTTTACTGAAGATAGTCTCACATTGTTTGCCTCAAAAGTAAAATTGGAAGCACCTTACACAGTTCAGATGGTTCCTGGAACTGTGCCTTTTATCCACAAGATACATCATCTTATTTCTAATTACTTTTTATTGTAAATATAATAAATTCCCCTACTTAAAGGATATGCAAGATGATTAAAATTCCTTTCCATTATCAGTGTCATGATGCTGTTTCTTAGAGTTGACCCACTGGGAAGTTCACTGTAATTTGTTCAAGAAAAATAAAATTCTTTTAAGGAAAATCCAAATGGGATGTAATCAAACATAGTTGCTTAACTTCTTAATTGCTCTCAGTGGTCACACAACAGTCTGTACATTTTTCTGTCTTTTCCTCTGTGTGCCTGTGTGTTATTTCTTTATATGGGTATTTATTAACTATGTCACCAGTAGAACATTTGGTTTGCTTATGGGGTTTTGTTTTCTTGTGAGTTTTATACAGTTACAAAGAGACTTTGTATTTCTAAAGATTACACACAGAACAAAGACTACTGAGGCAAAAGGACTTCTAGATTTAAATTGGTGTTACTATCTTCGTGTTATTTTTGATTGTGTGTGTGTGTGTGTGTGTGTGTGTGTGTGTGTGTGAACTGAACCTAGATCCTTGTGCACGATAGATGTGTGCCCTATCACTAAGCCACAACTCACCTTGCTACTCTCATTTTTTTTAAGATTTATTTATTATGTATACAGTATTCTGGCATGTAGTTGGTTGTGAGCCACCATGTGGTTGCTGGGAATTGAACTCTGGAAGATCAGGCAGTGCTCTTAACCTCTGAGCCATCTCTCCAGCCCTGCTACTCTCATTTTAAAACTCAGTTGCCACCATGTTTCAAGGTAGCAAACTAACTCACAAGTAAAATTCTAGCTATATTCTGCTCTGCTTCCTTGTTGCAACTGTATGTTTGGTGTTCTGTTGGGGTTAATCTTCTGAAAAGGTTTGAAGTTTTGACATTAACCAGAGACTGATCTTTTGCGGGGGGGGGTCTAGGTTCTTATGAAGGAATTCGGCAAACCTGGGAGGAATCGTGTTCTCCACTCAGCCCAAGCACATCCCTCAGCGCTATCATTAGAACTCCCAAATGCTACCATATCTCCTCACTGAATGAAAACGCCGCCAAACGTCTGTGTCGCAGGTATTCTCAGAAACTGATCCAGCACACCGCTTGTCAGCTACTGAGGACCTACCCGGCAGCGACCCGAATCGACTCATCCAATCCCAACCCCCTCATGTTCTGGCTCCATGGGATACAGCTTGTAGCCCTCAACTACCAGACGGATGGTAAGGAACCTGCGTCCTGCCCTGTCTCTGCATCTTCTCGTGTTCAGCAAATGCATTTCCATAAACATTTCTCATGATTGAAAAAAAAGAGTTCAGACTGGGGCACACGTACGTGGCGGAGGAATACAAAGGATGGGAAGTAGGAAGCTGTCAGGAATTGTGCTCCTGACGTTTTAGAGTTGGTCCGATAGAGAAGTGGGTGATGACGCTTTTAAAAGCACGTTGTAAACACAAACTGCTCTTTATCGACTTATGCCCAGCTGAATTTTAAAGCTCTATGAGGGCAGGAATTCCCTGTCATCGCTTAATTAACCCTTTGTTTCTGCAAGTCAGAAAGTAGCGGCCTGTGAATTCCAGCACTCCAGAAGCTGTGGGAAGAGACTGACAAGTCCAAGGCTGGCTTGAGCTACATAGGGAGCTTGTCTCAAAGAAAAATGTAGTAGTGTTATTCAAACATTGTTCAGAAGCTTCGCTTGCGCGAGGCTGCAGGGTGCCTTAGTAAGTTCAGGTTCTCTGGGAGTTCGGGGACTAAGACATTTTGTTTCCATGTGGTGGTGATGATGGAAAATGAGTAATGTTTCCTAGAAACTCATGCAAAATCTAGTCTTTCCTTTGGACAGCAGAGGTGCCAGCAGCCCCACTGTTCACCTCGCGTGAACGGAATCTGAACCTGTGCTGAACCATAAACTACAGTGTGGCCCTGTCTCAAGCTGAGATCAGACCACAGCTCTTAGCTCTGGGATAGTGAGGTGCCTGGCACTGGTGTCAACTACAGCTGACACTAAAGACATCTACTAATTGATATTTGCCATGCTTTGTTTCACCCTCACCATATTTACTGTCTTTAGTTGAGTGTGCATAGGACAGTGTAGACGGAGCAGCAACTCAAAAAGCTCCTAGCCCTGGAGAAGCACTGCACAATGTTAACTCTCTTTAAGGGTATTTGATAAGCTGAAAAAAAAAAAGTATGATTTGGACTCACAAATGGAAATAATGGCACAATATTTTCAGAGTCATAAAAGTTTGCTTTTCCATTTCTTTTCAATCTTTCACAAGTGGCCTGTGGCTTCGCCGCCTTGGCTCTGTCTATAGCCCCCCGTGTCCAAGGCTTCCTGAGCTATTATGCTACTTAAGTTTTTAAGTGCACCAAAATAACTAACAGAATGGTTTCCTCAAAGAAAGGTACGTATGCTTGGCTTGGGATACAACCTGCTACTCAAGTGCCAGGATTGGTGCAGACACGCTGGCTCCAAAGATGGCAAAGGGCACCCTAGCTAAAGGGAATATTAGAAGCTGCCACCCCTGAGCCCAAACCACAGTCCACAACACAAACTGAACCTCAGAGTGCCTTCCACTCACCTCTGTAGTCTTTAGTCTCTGCAAGCCAAGCTGGGAGCACCTGTTGGAGCTGCCGCACTCCAGGGAAGCAGGCGACTGTTGAGTGTTTCATCGGCAAGGTTCTCTGCATAGCCTTGCAACCCAGAAAGTGTGCTGTCATCTACTCTCTCTCAGTTCAGTTCACTGAGCCTTAAACATGTACCATTGCTGCAATGCAACATCTATGTGTCCTTCATTTAGGCAATTGTGACTGAAGCCTCACTCAACACTTTACGTGCAGCAGATGACCAATAAATAAGAGCTGCACTGTGCTGGAGCAAACCGTCCTGGTCAGCCTCTATACAATCTGAACCTATGGATCTGGGGAGGGGGGAGTGTAGGTCTATTACTTTTCACATTGACATGTTAGTTAATTTCCACTGTGACAAAAATTACCTGACAAGAAGCAACTTAAAGAACAAAAAAGGTTTGGGGGTCCCTAGCACCCACATGGCAGCTCATACCTGTCTGTAATTCCAGTTCCCGGGCATCTGATTCCCTCACACAAACATACATAAAGGCAAAATACCAATGTATATAAAATAAAAATAAATTATAAAAGGAAAGGAAAGGAAAGGAAGGAAGGAAGGAAGGAAGGAAGGAAGGAAGGAAGGAAAGAAGGAAGGAAGGAGTCTTAGGGTTTCTATTGCTGTGAAGAGACACCATGACCATGGCAACTCATAAAGGAAAACATTTAATTGAGGTGGTAGGCTACAGTTTCAAAAGTTTAGTCCATTATCATCATGTTGGGGAGCATGGCGGCTGGGAGTATGGTGGTGTGCATGCAGGCAGACATGGTGCTGGAGAAGGAGCTGAACTTCCTACATCTTGACCCACAGGCAACAGGAAGTAGGCTGACTAGGTGTAGCTTAAGCATATATGAAAGCTCAAAGCCCGCCCCCACAATGACACACTTCCTCCAACAAGCCCACACCTACTCCAACAAGGCCACACCTCCCAATAGTGCCGTTCCCTATGAGTCTATGAAAGCAATTACATTCAAACTACCACAAAAGGTTTATTCTGGCTCACAGTTGGAGAGGATACATTTAATCATAGCAGGGAAGGCATGGTGTAAGAATCAGAAGCCAGCTAGCTAGTCACAATGCGTCTGCAGTCAGGAAGCAGAGGAGGAGCAAGAAATGGACCCCAAGGCTCACCCTGACTGACCAACTTCTTCCAGCAAAGCTCTGCCTCCTAAAGGTTCCACGGCCCTTCACAAATGGCTCCCATCTGAGGAGCAAGTGTTTAAACTTGCAAGCCTCTGGGAAGTATTTCACATTCAAATCATAACAAGCCATCTTCCTAGTACTTCTCTGTGATTTGAGAATTCAAAGAGACAAGCAGGCAAACAATATCAGAACAGCCATTTCACACATGTTCAAAATAATCCCTAGGTGAAGAAGCACTTGATTTCCCAAGGCCCTTCCTGTGCCCCATCAGCATCCTTCTCTCACAGGGCTCATTTATGTTGCCATTTTGTAGATGGCAGGGGAGCTTGCTGCCTCCCAGGTGTTTTTATGGAACTAGGACCCTCTAGTCCCTAGCTTCCAGACAACCTGTCAATTCCAAAAAGGTCAGAAGTGATCCAATTTCAACAAAAGTGACCACTGAGCCTAGGAACCTAAAGCTAGTATGCAAAGCTGTGGTTACCATGGGCAACAGTCTCCCCTTCCCCCCAGCTCTTTCCTCTGGACCAGAATGAATCCTGCTCCATATATAGAACCCACAAGAATGTAAGCATTGCAACCCCAGTCAGAAAAAAAGCCTCTTTCTAAAAAGCATTTATTGTGCTTTATTGGATTAGAGTTGCAGTTTTCACTGTGATTTTTCAAAATCCCAAATACAAGGGTAACTTAACTGTTGTGAGTGTAATATCTGCCTCCCACTGTGTTTTTAAGAATAGCAGACCATGCAGGCAGTGGTATGTCTGATCTACCCTCATATGCATGGATTCAAATGGGCCAATCAGGTGTATGGTTCATGTTCTTTCTTTCATTTGGTTACAAACAGGGGTTTCCAAAGTGCAGATGACCACTAGGCCTCCCTGGGAGGCAGTAAGAGGATTGGATTTGAGCCCCTCTTTATTTCAAACTGAGCAGCTTCATAGAAATCTGTTTTACACATTGGAGTACCAAATGGGATCTTAGAGTTTTTTAAGAGCTGAAAGTGGCACATTTGGAGACAGAGACAGGCAGATTCCCCCAGCATTCTGAGGCAGCAGCAGGCCAGTCTCTGTGAGTTTGAGGCCAGCATGGTTTACATAGCAAGTTCCAGGCCTCCCAGGTATACTTAGTGGGACCCAGGTTAAAAAAAAAAAGTTTAAAAAAGCTATTAGAGCCGAGCAATGGTGGTGCACGCCTTTGATCCCAGCACTCAGGAGGCAGAGGCAGGTGCATCTCTGTGCGTTCCAGGCCAGCCTGGTTACAGAGCTAGTTCTAGAACAGCCAGGACTGTTACACAGAGAAACCCTGTCTCGAAAAATCAAACATAACAAAAAAGCGATTAGGTTAGGTGCAGTTCTAAGAAGGTCTGACTCCAAGCCTAAATGAAGTTAAGAATGCTAATTGTTTTTTATCTGTAATGCTTAAGACTAGAAGTGTGTGGACTTGAAGTTTTGTTGCTTTTAGGGGCTCCCTCCCGCCTTTGGATTTTTTGAATATGTGCAGAAATAGACTGTTTTGATCGCAAACTATCATGAGGTCAGACGGGCATTTTTATACTGTGGTGTTGTATTAGTGCTCCAAAAGTTGTATCCAATTTCCAAATTGGGGTAAATATCCATTTCATATTTAGTCACCTCAAGTGAGTTTGTTTGCTTTGCTCTCTCAGCCATTCCAGCTATGTCTGTTTCATGGTCACAGAACGGCCAGGGAAGGGACAGAATAACCTCTTTAAGGCAATCACATCAGCACTGGAAGGAACCTGACAAATGGGTGCTATGCACTAATGCCACAGAGGAGACCGAGGCCCAATGTTCCTAATACATCTTCTCCAGGAATTCCTGCACAGGCACTTGGCCGACCTCAGATCCATGGGAAAGGTCCATACACAAGATACAGAGTAGGGGCCAAGTCTTTGTTGTTTAAAGGCACTTAGTCCACTTTTCCTTGATGTTGGTTCATGTAGCAAAGTTCATTCGGCACATGGAAGGAATCTACCAGCGGGAACATTTGTCAGGTGTGTCTCATAAACCCTTTGCTCATTTGGGCAGCGTTTACACAGACTGAGCCATCAGATGAGCTTGTGAGTGTGGAAGAGTCCAGAAAACTGTGCAGTCGTTCATCAAAAACTGGGCCAAATAAAATCTGGCGACAAAACTCTCCAAGCCTTTGTGAGGGCCCCCTGAAGACATGATGTGAATCATATGTGATGACTTTTTTCATATTTAACTATAAAATGAGGTAAAAAGAAAAAAGGAATTATGGGCTGAAATTAAGATTTCATGGAAATGCTGTTTTTCTTCTTTTTCTTTCTTGTATCGTTAAGATTTTATCTTACCTTTGAAATAGTAAGAATTGTCCATAAAATTGTCTACATGGTTTGGTATTTAGGATTTAAAAAAAAAAAAAAAAACGGAATGATTCTTTCCCAAAGTAATGATTTTGTTCCAAACTTCAGCATAAAATGAGGTGTTCTATGTAAGGTTTCTGATGGCTATGATGATGTTTTCCTCACAAAAGGAGTTTTTAAGCGGCAGAACCTAGCTTGGAGTTGGACCATGGGCCATTTCCATAGACGATGAGAAAAGTGCTTTTTCTGTTGGTGATGGTGGTTTCTCCTTGTTGTTATCTCCGTTACCTGCTGCACCTCTTCATCCCCATGCCTCCTGACACAGCCTGGCACATAGTGAGCATTCATCCATCTAGGGAGTGTGTCTTAGGGTTTCTATTGCTAAAGTACCGTGACCAAAAGCAGCTGGGGATGAAAGGGTTAGTTTCAGCTTACAACTCTCGGGTCACACTCCTTCACCCGGGGAAGTCAGGCCAGGAACTCAGGGTAAGAACTGAAGCAGAGGCAATATAGGAACACTGATTACTGGCTTGCTTTCCAAAGCTTGCTCAGTCACCTTTCCAATACAACACAGGAGTGGCATGTCCCACAGTGGACTGGGCCCTCCTGCGTCAGTCATCAAGAAAATGTCCTACGGAGTTGCCTGCAGGCGATCTGCTGGAGGCGTCTTCTCAGTCGAGGTTCCTCTTCCCAAATAACTCTTTCTGTGTCAAGTTGACAAAAACTTGCCAGCACATGAATGGCTGATTATCGCTTCTTCCCTCCAAATAATTCGCAAATTTGGCTTTGTTTGTTCTGCAGATCTTCCTTTACATTTAAATGCTGCAATGTTTGAGGCAAATGGTGGCTGTGGTTATGTTTTGAAGCCCCCTGTCCTGTGGGATAAAAGCTGTCCCATGTACCAGAAGTTTTCTCCACTGGAAAGAGACCTAGACAACATGGACCCTGCCATCTATTCTTTAACTGTGAGTATGCCCCTGTTGTCAGAGTGATGTAGCATTTAAGCCTCTGGGAGTGAATATGAACAGTCTGGAATTCAGGGTACCACAGTTCTCACAGTAATTTCCTGTTTCTCAGAAAGCAATGGCTGAGGTTAGGCTCGCTGTCACAGACCGTGTGTTTCTGAGCCAAGCAGGTGGAGTTAGAAGATTCCTGCCTTATCTCATGAATGGTCATTTGGTCTTCTGGGGTACACAGAATCATAACTGGGTGTCCCCATAAATAATGAGCTTTATCCTAGATCAGATAGACTGGCATCGGGGTACACACAGTGAGGCATATTTCCTGCTTCTAATCTAACCTTGTGCTTCCTATTACTTAAGTCATCACTAAGTTATTGGCAAAACTCTACATATTGCTACCTTAAAATAGAGAACTGCAGGCCATTCTTCACCTCTACTTCCTCATTAATTTGCTCCCTCTTAGTTAACAGAGAAAATATTAAGATAGGAGATGAGGGGGGAGGGAGGAAGAGAGGGAGAGAGAGAGAGAGAGAGAGAGAGAGAGAGAGAGAGAGAGAGAGAGAGAGAGAGAAAACAGGGTCATTTCTTCTCTCCATCTTTAAATCTCAATTTTCTCTTTCCAAAGAAGCATCCTCATGATACTCCAAATCCTGTGCTAACTCTGTTCACATGTTCTCCCATCACCCAAATTGCTTTGTCTCTCGCCCTAAGCTGGGGGAGCAGTTACCTCTTTTGTATTAGACCATTTTAGCAAGGGTAGAGTGTTGGTTTATCTTTTTACAGAAGGCTACTGTATGTCACAAGGAAACCCTGGACAGTGGCTAACTGAGGTACCTATTAACATTAAAGCAAATGCTGTCTGATAGCCTCTCTCAACACAGGCCTGTACCTATAACAGCGATGTCCTGGCTGGCATACCCCGCCCCCTATCCTAAACTCACCAGTCCAGGGCTGGGCTGTCCTTCCCCTGGCTTCCCTGATTCCTTTATAACCCAGCCATTTTGGCTACTAGGTCCTTTTGCCTTTTTGCCCCTTGGCTACTGCTCTTGGTTCACACTCTTGTGGCCTCCTGGCTTCTGGCTTTCCCCTCTTTCCTGCCCCCTCTCCTCACATAGCCCCGTTCAGTCTGCCCGCCATGTTCAGTCTGGACCCTTCCTGATGCCTCTGGCTGTGCTCTCCCTCATATGGGCAATAAACCTTCTCCTCAAACCCATACCTAGGAACCTTGTATAGTCAGTTCATCTTTTTTTTTTTTCATTCAGCCATGAATTGATTTCTCTTAGCAGTATTCCATGGATTGCTCCAAATCTATTGAAGATTTTATAGTTGTAAAATAAATCCCTGCAGTGCTCAAAATAGAAAACAAATGGCAAACTCCTGTTTCTATGGAGTAGGGTTTTCTTTTTTCTTGACATCTGTAAGAAATGCAGTTTCATTTCAGTGCTTCTCTCTTTTTTTATCAGTTTAAAGGAATGCTATAAGCACAATAGGATTTTCAAATGGTTCTAGCCACATGATTACTGGATTACAATCACTTGTGTTTGTTTACGGGTTTTAATTAATCATTCACGGTATCCATTGCAGCATTCTCTGTGAACAGAAAGTAAAAGAACTAGCGATTTATTTGCTTCTCTTTCATCTTTTGTAACCTTGATCCTTTATATTTTCCTTCAGATCATCTCTGGCCAAAATGTGTGCCCCAGTAACAGCACCGGAAGTCCGTGCATTGAGGTTGATGTCTTGGGCATGCCCCTGGACAGCTGCCATTTCCGCACAAAGCCCATCCATCGAAACACTCTGAACCCCATGTGGAATGAGCAGTTTCTCTTCCGGGTTCACTTTGAAGATCTAGTATTTCTTCGTTTTGCAGTTGTGGAAAACAACAGTTCGGCAATAATGGCTCAGAGAATCATTCCACTCAAAGCTTTAAAACGAGGTAGAATAAAGTTTCCAAATAGCATCTGCAGTGCCAAGGGCATTTTAGAGCAGAGACTGAAATAAGGAAATAAAAACAAAGGGAGGGCTGGGAGGTGGTGATACATACCTTTAATCCTAGCACTAGGGAAAGTAGAGGCAGGTGAATCTTTGTGAGTTCAAGGCCAGTCTGGTCCATAGAGCTAGTTTCAGGAAAGCTAGGGCTACATAGAGAAAACCTGCCTTGAAAAATAAACAAAAACAACAAAGGGAGGGAGAGCTGGGGTGCAATAGGGGCACAATAGTAGCAAAGTGAGACATAGCTACAGGTGAAGCCTAGCAGTATTGGAAGGGTAGGTGTGAGATGAAAGGCAAAGGCCAGTACCATTGGTTTGTGGGTCGGCTTTGGTGTGGTCCTCAGGAATGTTGGCTTATGTGCATAAGATTCTCCTGGGGCTCTTGGCAATAACATATAGACTCTTGTTCAGTAGGTCTGGGGTGCAGGCTGAGATTGTGCCTCTGAAGCTTGAGGGATGCTGACTCAACCTAACCTCCTCTGGGTTCCACAAACATGTTATGCTTTCCCACTTTCTGTTTGCTTCCTATTCCCTTTTCCCATCCAAGCAGCCCCTGGTCACTGTATGTGTTTGGTAGAATGCCCAGGACAATATACTACAACCAGTTTATTCTCTCACAGTCTTGAAGGCTAGAGAGCCAAAATCAAGATGTCAGAAGCTTGATGTCTTCCCTCACTCCGTGCTTTGGCTTCTTCAAAGTATTGTCACATGATGACTGTATTTTGTTTTATTCTATGTTCATGTCTGATATCTCTATCTTAATTTCCTCTTCTTAAAAAAAGAAGATTGTATTTATTTCTTTCACATGCATACGTGGGTAGGCACCTATGAAGGTCAGAGCACAGCCTGAAGGAGTTGATCCTCTCCTTCCATCATGTGAGTCCCAGAGGTCAAACTCAGGCTGTCAGGCTTGGCCACCAGAGCCTTTACCCACTGAGGTATCCCTTAATGTCCTCTTCTTATGGGGACATTGATCTTATTGAATTGGGACCCACCCTCATGGCATCACTTTAACCTCATTAAACACGAAAGGAACTATCTTCACAGTCACACTCTCAGGTGCTAGGGAGCTTGGCTCTCAACATATCAGTAAGAGGGGTCTGCTAGAGGTCTTGCTCTGGACGGGTTTGTTGACCTGGGATGGATGTGTGGAGTCAGTGCCAATAAGGGATTGTGACCACCTGTGTTGTTCAAACAAGTGGCCCCAGATAGCTTCAGCTGTTTTTAATTATATAGTTTCAATGGTTTGCATGAACAATTTTGTAATCAGTTACTTCCTACGTAAAAACTTTTTACCTAATTTCTAAAAATGGTTAGACTATTTACCAGTTTGTTCCTTGCCTTTTTATCTACTGTCTCCCAACTCTCCCATGGGTAGCCATTACCTTTTTGATCTATACCTCTATTGTCAAAGTCCTAAGCAGTTTTGCAAGCTATAAAGGAACTTTTCTGTCTAGGCATACCTAGAGGTAGAAGAGTGTGTCTTGTTGGCAGCACATGCAGTTATAGCATCAATGCAGGGCAAGAAATAGTTTTGTCTCTTGTTAATATTTATATCTGGTAGGGTTTGGATTCTCATGACCAACTCTCCAGACAGAGCTAGAACAATCCATTCTGTGTTTGTATTGTTCTATCCTCTCTGGGGGCATACCAGGTTTTTCTACTTGTGCTATAAGGAACATAACCTGGAATCTTACTCTTAATAATTGGCACTACTTAGCCCTTGTCCTTATGTCTATCTGTCTTATCTTTTTGGTATGTTGGCACAATTATTAGAAATGAGGGAACTGTGGGTTTCTATGATTCTGTGTCATTCCCTATTCCTTGAATGTCCCCATTAATTCCTGATATCATCTATTTAATAGCATTTCTTCAAAGCTCTTGTGGTTGAAATCATTCTTTCCAGAACAGTTATGCAAATATGTAGTATTAATGACCTACCGAGACTCATTCAGGCCAGTAGTATGGCTAGCACAGTGAAAGCAAGGACAGCACATTGCACACACGATCCCGGGGTCATGTCCAGAATCATGCAGTGAGCTGTCCACAGGTTCTTGCCAAGTGGGTTAGGATCTCCAGGGACCTTGCCACAAGGAGAGCCATTCATGTCCTTCTCAGGCATTGCTCCCCAAAGAAGTCACATGGCTCCTGCCAGGGGTCCATAATTCAGGTCATTACAATTACTAGAGAAGTGTGAGAAAGGACAGAGAAACAAAAATCATTTGTTTCAAGAGTATCCGTGCCATTCCCCAGTCTAATCACTTTTGATAGGCTTTATTTTTCTGCTCATGTATATGGCAATGAAATACACGGTTAACAAATAGACTTCCTCCTAATCCCAATGTTATAAGACTTCCTGGTTTTCCATTTCTAAAGTGTATAGTGAGCACCTTCCGATGTTAATAATCATACAGCTACCTTACCATTTTTACTGTCTGCATATTTTTCCATTTTATATCTATATTCGATCTCTTGATATTAAAAGTGTATTATGATGAAAGGTTTTCTATAATGGATATTGACCTTTAGTAAAGCAGAGATAGTAGCTGCCTTGGTGTCAAAGTCATCAGGATTCCCTCTTTCTTTGTTGTTGTTTGAGTTTAATGATTATCCATTTGGGTCTAAGTTAGAAAGAATACTGGACAAGGTAATTATTCATTGACAGTCCAGGAATATGCCCCAGGAGACAGCTCTCTTACAATGAAAGCTCTCTGCTGGCATACCCGTTACCTTCCACTGCCCATCTTGCGGATGTAGTGACCTCTGTGTGGATATTTGCAGAGCTCAGTTGTGCATGGTTAACAGGCCTTTCCCAACTCTGCACCATTCCAGGTTATCGACATCTTCAGCTGCGGAACCTCCACAATGAAATATTGGAAATCTCTAGCCTATTCATAAATAGCAGAAGGATGGAAGAAAATCCCTCTGGCAGTACGATGCCAGCCTCTTTGGTAATTAAGTTCTTATTTCACCCAGCATAGCTGCAGGACTGCTACACTGGTGGCGGACTGTCTTGTGGTACATCAGAGTTTCCAATGAGTCCTTAATTAGGTGGCTATGGAAACGATAACACAGGTGGCTGACACTTGTTGCTTACATATGCTCTGACTCATCAGTTCATACCCCACATCCAGTGATGTTTAAGAACTATTGGGCCAGAGCTTACCCCTCTAAACTGGGGTAGTTTGTTTAAACAAGGAACACTGCTCTAATTTATTGGTCAATTCTATTATTCTTCCTCTAATAAATTAGAATCATATGTGACTGTGTGTTCGGTTTCCCTCTGTCTATGTTCACAGGCTCGGGCACTTTCTTGGACCACCTTCATCTTATACAGTTCTGCTTTCTTCTCTGGCCTCTCTCTCTCTCAACTCTGCTGATTTCTTCTCTGTGTGTGTCCCGGCCCTATTTTCTTGGGCCGCCTTCTTCCTGTCTCCTTTTCCTTGTATCACTCTACAGAAACCTTGGCTCATATTTGTATCACCCGAGGAGCTTTTAAAAGTGAAAACTAACATGCATTTCATACAATACCAATCCCTCTCATGCTGGGAAGAAGCACTGTAATTTCAGTAAGCTAATTCCCTGGAGGCTGAATTTCCTTGGGACTGCTGAGGCGATATGTCATCGTCTCGTCCTCCCCATCAGTACACACCAGGCTACAAGTGGGTCCTAGGCATCTTGTGTTGAATAGAGCCTAGAACTTCCGTGTTATCTAGAATGCATGAGAAACCATGTGATCTTCATTGACAGATGTTTAATACTGAAGAGAGGAAGTGTTCTCAGACTCACAGAGTCACGGTGCATGGTGTTCCAGGTCCAGAGCCCTTTGCTGTCTTCACTATAAATGGAGGCACCAAGGCAAAGCAGCTTCTCCAACAGGCAAGTCCACCAAACCCATGGTTAAAGAAATCCAGTCTCCAAAATGTATGTGTGTGTACAAATATGTATGGACGTATGCATTCACATAAATCCTTAAAAGCCCATGTCAATGATACATCTTTTATTTCTTTATAGTTTCTTTATCTTTACATGTTGAAGCTTGAACCTACAACCTTATACATGCTAGGCAAGTGCTACAACCACAGACCTTTTATTTTAAGTTTGAGACAGGACTTCCCAAGGCTGATCTAAATTTACAGTCCTCCTGGCTTCATTATGATATGTCTTTTGTTTGTTTGAAAACCTAAGAATAATTTAAGGGTTCTTGGTAGCACTAGACAAACTAGCTTCACCATAGAGAAGAATTTCTATGATTCAGTACCCTAATATCCCACACACTTTTATCCTTAGCACATTTTAGAACTACTTCTCTTCTCTGAGGGTAGACCAGGGAGAACACTGACCAAGAGGAGTACCCTGGACCTTCCTCCAAAACTAGTGCATATGATAAAATGTAGCAGAAACCACATGATGCATGACAGAATTAAAAACCAATTGAGCAGTGATGTATAAGTATTAATACTATGTTATTAATATTAGTTGTCTCTATCATTTAAGGGTACATCTCTATGGAAAGTGCAACATTTTATTGCTGACTTAAGTAGCATCATAGTAAACTATTTTTGTATATAATCAAACAAAAGCTCGGGGTGTTTTTTTTTCCTGATTGCTTTTTAGTCAATTAGTCTATAAACTTCAGTATCAAGTCACTACAAAGATTCTGTAAAATCAGAGAAACTTCCCACAGCCACTAATGAAAAACAGCACCATATTTTTCCCCGTACACATAAACAAATGAGTCCTCAGTGTTGAGAAAAAGTGGTGTTGAGTTTCTTGAGGAGATGACAGTACCAACAGAACCTCTGAAGACTTCCCACCCTGAATAATTCTCATAGTAGCAGGTGTGTGCATGGTCCAGATTGTTGGCCTTGGCCCCCATGGGATTATTAGCATGCTGCTTTAGAAGAAGGGCTCAGGTAGAGGGATCAGAGTTGTGAGAATTTTCTGCTCCTACCATCCTTAGCACCTTGTGTTGTGCTTCCCCTCCAACTGAGAAATATTAACTATACCATTGCATCATTGGCAGGAACCTGAGGAGATGGGTGTTTGCTTAATTCAAGCCAGGTATTAACAGCTGGCTTCTACCACACAGCTACCTCTCACAGGAAGGGAACTGACACTTCATCAGAAATCTATATGACAGGAGTGAGAAAGAAAATATCAGAAAGACTCTAATGATGACTGGTACTCACTGAGTGCTCAAAATGTCTCTTGCACTATGCTTAACGCTTCTATAATAAACCAAAACTAATAGATTGTTACTATGAGCATTCCCATTTTATAGGTGGGAAAACCAATTCTCTTTCCAAAACTCCCAAAACAGTAAATCTTGACACCCTCATGAATGCTAAGCTGAGTAAGTGCTCTATCATTGAGATATCCTCAACTAAAAACAAGTAAGTCTTAAAGGGAAATCTGAGACCTAGGTCTAACTGACTCCAAAGCTCTGTCTTAATCACTCCATCTGATTGTGCTGAGTCCAGAGCAAGCAAGGAAACAGCCCTTTGGGCACACTGTGTCAGGAATCTCCTGACAGGAGAATTCCCAGACGAGCCCTTAGCCTTGTGAATCTTCCATGACTGGGTAGTTATTTTCACCGTGAAAAACAGAGGTGATGCTTGCAAACTGCACAGGGTTCTTTGCATCAGCCATTTGTTGCAGGATTTCAAAGAACCAAGTTCATAGAGTAAGAAACCTGAAGTTTTAATTCAACAGGATTTCTCATTCCAGCAGTGGGAAAAACAGCTATGCTGTCTGGGGATTATAAATAAACTGTGTCTTTGCCCACAGTGAGCATAAATAATCGGTTCTGGACATATAAGAATTATTATAGCTCTAAAAAGAATTATGCAACACTCCCAAGTAGGCTTCACTTATAAATTGCCAACAAACCTGCCAGAACATCATGCAAACAGACGTGTTCACTTTGTGCCACTCTTCAGAGATGTGCCTAATGTTGCCTTTGCCTTTTTTTTTTTTTTTTTTTTTTTTTTTTTTTTTTTTTTTTTAGATTCTGGTGATTGACCAAGACACCAAACTTAGTGCCACAGACTACTTTCTGATGGAAGAGAAGTATTTTATATCTAAGGAAAAGAATGAGTGCAAGAAACCACCATTCCAGCGAGCTGTGGGTCCTGAAGAAGATATTGTACAGATTTTAAACAGCTGGTTTCCAGAAGAAGGCTATGTAGGCAGGATTGTCTTAAAGCCCCAGAAGGAAGTAAGTACCACCTGGACACAAGCCTTCCAGGTGACTGTTGAGTATGCTGTCAGCCATCCCACCAAGGGATACCTTCAGCAAGCACTTTACTGACTCTCTCCTCAGCTACACAACACTTTCTGCCTGCTTTGGAGAATGCTAGATCATAAATTCTGTCATGTGACCTACCCCCGACACCACTTTTGGATTGTTTGAATATATAACAGGAAATGTAATGACACATCCCATTATGTAACAAGAACAGTAAGTGGGGAGAAAAATATGCTGTAGAATGGTGGGGAATGATCATGTTTTATGTAATAAAAATAGGCAATACCTTCACTCCTCCACCTCCATTGTTAGACTGAGTAAGGTTTGAATCGGGCTGCAGTGGTGGCGGGGGTGGGGGGGGGGATCCTTTCCAGACTTGGTTACAGTTTGGCACCTCCTGGCGGCTGTTTCTCATTCTGAGTTAAGTATCATTGGGAACAATCCTGGGTGATGGGACCAGCAGAAACCTGCAGGCCAGTGACAGCAAACCATGAATAATTCTGGTTCATTAGCACCATCTCAATAGCCTGTCTATGAAGATCAGGTTAGAAGAATGCTGGGAATAGAATTTCCTATGAGCAGTCTTGACATCTGATAGGGTCACCTACTTCCTTCATCTCTCTTACCCTGTGTACACCCTCTTGTAGACTGTAACTTCAAAACTACTGTCATTTGAAAATGGGGCAGCCAGGCAGTGGTGGCACACGCCTTTAATCTCAGCACTTAGGAGGCAAAAGCTGGCAGGCCTCTGAGTTCCAAGCCAGCCTGGTCTACAGAGCAAGTTCCAGGACAGCCAGGGCTACATAGAGAGACTTGTCTCAAAAAAAAAAAAAAGTGAAGGGCTGATAAATGGACAGAAGCTATGTAAAAAAAAATTACAACCATATTCTCACAATTCCAGGATTTTGTGTCTATCTGTTCATGTGTTAGACAATGCATTTATGTATCAAAGGCAGATGTACACAAGGATGTATACCTAACAACAGTGAGATTTTGTTTACAGACTTCTTTGCTCATTTGTTTGTTTATGAGAATGAAGCGATATAAAAAGAAAATGAGAGACTAGGGATGGGTTTATCATTTTCTTCACTGTTGGGAAAACATTATGAATTCCGTTGTTTTGCCTACACTCATATCTATCTGTGTACCAAATGCATGCCTAGTGCCCATGAAAGCCAGAAGGCAACACTGTATCTCTTGGAAATGGAGTTACAGATGACTGTGAGCTACAATGTGGATTCTACGAATCAAACCCTGGTCCTCTGAAAGTGCAGCTGGTACTCTTAACAAAATGAAAATCCGGGCTAGAGGCACGGCTCAAGAGTTAAAAGCCCTCGCTACTCTTCAAGAGGACTCAGGTTCAGTTCCCACTCACTCCCCACATGGTGGTTTATTTCCACCTGGAACTCCAGTTCCAGGGGATCCAACACGTCCTTCTGACCTCCCAAGGTTCCTGCACTCAAGTAGTGCACATACATACATGTAGGCACAAACTCATACACACAAATTAAATAAACAAAACATTTTAAAGACGATGCATACAGGAGAGAGGGAAATTGGATTTCACCAAATTCTACCCAAATCAAATTAGCCTGATAATTCTCACTGAAGTGTGGCTTACCTGCAGCCACTGACCTGGCCTTTCCACTGTGGGCATTGCTCATCCCACTGGATGAGTACGCCATGCTTCATATTTCATGTGCCTAGTATTTCTCTTTTGTAACTTTAAAGTGAGAGGGGGAGAAAGGGGAGAAGGGAGGCAGAGAGGGAGGAAGGGAAGAAAGGCCCGGGAGGAGGAGGAGGAAGGAAGGGAAGGAGGGAGGGAGGGAGGGAGGGAAGGAAGGAGGGAAGGAGGGAGAGATGTGCCACAGACTATGGGTCAGAGGAAAACTTTGTGCATTTGGTTTTCCCCTTCCACAATTACAAGCAGCCCAAGGAAGGGACACACGTCATCAGGCTTGCATCAAGCACTAAGCCATCTCGCCAGCTCCCATGTCTAATCCTTAGATGTTAACAGTGTTTGGGGAATGAACTTATTATGTTCAATACAGCTTACCATGTTCTTATTTGGCTTTCAGTAATTAACAAAACAGTGTATTTTCTTTCTAAAAGTTTGTAATTGGTTTGGTTACTCAAAATCTACAACTAGTAGACACTTACACACTGGTTTGTTCTGTGTGTATCAGCATCAAGCCTTTCTTCCCCTTAGAAGCAGCTACATCTTTTTAGTATAGTGTATGAAATATTAGCTAACGTATGAACCATAAAACTAAGGTGATGTTTTCCGTTTTACCAAGATACAACTCAAATTTTTGCTAGAATTTTTTTTTCTGTCTTACCAATTACTCATATATTTTCTTTTTTTTGAATGCAGACCCTAGAAGAGAAAAGCATTGTCCAAGATGACAAAGAGGTGATCTTGAGCTCGGAGGAGGAGAGTTTCTTTGTCCAAGTTCATGATGTCTCTCCAGAGCAACCCCGAACTGTCATCAAAGCCCCCCGGGTCAGCACTGCACAGGATGTCATTCAGCAGGTAAAAGCCTCCTTGGGGGCCAGGATGCAATTCAGAGACGCTGCCTGCCCGGCAGGCACAGGCCTCTAGGCTTGATCCCAGCACCACAAGAAATCTCTCCTTTCCTTGTGCCATGCCTCCTATCGTAAATGATTGGGACAAATCAGACGTGTGGGTATTGACAGCTCATTTACAAATGAAGTTCTAGAATGGGGGAGCTGGACAGGAGGTACACATCTCGGAAGGATAGGAAATAGCTGTTCAGTCTGCAGCAGATACTCAGCTAGCATCTACAATGAATTTGGATCTCTGCTGATAATGGGTTTAGGAAGTGGCCAAAGTTGCCTCAGAAACACCCAAGCAAATACTGAATGGCCATCTCTGAAGGATGGCCCAGAACACAAGCAGGAGGCTGACTCTGACTGTTGGGCAAATCCCATCCTCTAGGTCAGGATACTGTTTTTTTAGGGTATTTTTTCTTTGTTTGTTTGTTTGTTTGTTTGTTTGTTTAACACGACTTCAGAGAACTGTTCCTTGTGGCCTCCTCAAGGTTTGTATTCATTGAACTCCTGCTTGAGAAATGATACCGCACAGTTAACAGCATCAACCCCTGACCACACGGCTGAGGGCTCAATCTCAGTTCTGCCCCTTACTCAGAGATCTCCAGCCAGATCTCAAGATCTCACTCAGATCTGTGTCTGAGTTAGACTGTGTGTTGACAAACTTCTTTTTTTGGGGGGGGGCGGGAGGCGTGTAGGGGATTCATTTCTGTCATGTAAAACCTCCTCCTGAGTCTGACTTCACTAGCCCATTCCAGTTGCTCTGACACCACTTTGGAAGTCAGGCCACTTGGAAGCTAAGTGAGGTGACCTGAGTGTTAGAAGCCATTAACTACTCAAATGAAAATGTGGCATCGGGTGACCAGATTTTCCCATGGCTAAAAGTCTGAGCCACTTTCCCACCTTAAACTTTCATTCAGGATGGATGCAAACATGAGAGACACTTGATTCAGCTGACCCTAACTTATCTTTCAGACCTTATGCAAAGCCAAATATTCCTACAGCATCCTGAACAACCCCAACCCAGGTGACTATGTGCTCTTGGAAGAGGTGATGAAAGACGCACCCAATAAGAAGTCTTCTACTCCAAAGTCCTCACAGAGGATCCTTTTGGACCAAGAGTGTGTATTTCAAGCCCAAAGCAAGTGGAAAGGTGCAGGGAAATTCATCCTGAAGCTAAAGGAGCAGGTTCAGGTAACAGGAAAGTTACTTTGTTCTTCATAAATCACTGATAGTCACATTATAATTAAATGTGGGAGCTAAAGAAATCTCTAGAAAGTTCCTAAGTCCAGCAGCTGGAAGGTAATCATTTTGTTTTCACTCTGTGGGGAGAAAAGACAAAACAGCAAGCTCCCCTGTGTGGTTAAAAGATCCTGGGATAGAGGCCTTGGCCCATCTTCCCAAAGCTTTACTTGCCAGAGAGAAGTACAAAAGCAAGTACTCCCTCTGAGTATACCATGGGCCTCAAGGACCTGGATTTACGTTTGCATCAAGGAAGGTTCTTTTTTCTACACAGGCATCACGAGAAGATAAAAGGAGGGGCATCTCCTTTGCAAGTGAACTCAAGAAACTCACTAAGTCCACTAAGCAGCCCCGAGGACTCACATCACCTCCTCAGCTTGTGGCCTCAGAAGGTGTTCAAATCAAGGAGGAGAAGCCTGTGGGTGCCTTGACCTCCAGTGACACAGCAGCTTACCAGCAGTGACTGAGGCAGCATGTTTGACCCAGCTATATAGTAAGGTACTGTAGCATTCTGAAACAAGACTCAACAGAAAGTACTTTGTAACACAGGATGGAGCCTGTGTCCTTTCAGGAGGCTCTGAGGACAGGTAGGAGTGGTACCTCAAAACAGAACCTGGGCTCTGAAATTATACGCAAGTTTTTAAGATGTTAGACTTCCTGGGCCAGAGACGTGGCTCAGTGGTCAAAGGTGTCTGCTGCCAAGCCCGGTGACCTGAAATGGATTTGTAGGACTCCATGGTGGAAGGAGAGAACTGACTCCCACAAATCGTCCTTTGACCTCCATATGCACACCATGTCATGTACACGCCCTTGTATTTACACACACTTTTCCAGACTTCCTTATTTTGTAAGTAACTAGCCAGAGGCCCCAGGAAGGCAACCAACTTGCCCCAAGTGCCAGACAGGCTTGAGTCATTACATATAGAACTGCCTTAATTATTAATAACACATAAGAACATTCTTCAAGAGCTCTGGATCAGTGTTTGGGATTCCTCATATTATAGTCTTATTTGTTTCATTTACACCCAACAATCTCATCTCTTCCTGCCTCTAAAAAATAAAAGTAATAAATTAAAATATGCCAGGTGTGGTGGCACCTGCCTGTAATCTCAACATTTGGAAAGCTGAGGCAGGAGGATCACAGACTCAAGGTCAGCCTGGGCTACTTAGGAAACATAGTGGGACCCTGTGTTTAAAAAGCAAAGCGAAGCAAAAGAAAAATAACTTCAGTCTCCATCCTGGAAATGCCGTGTCACTCCTTGACATTCACACACACAGTCAATCTCAGCAGGATGATCTAGAATATGAGAAAGGTGTGAGAGAACCAAAGATAAGAGCCTTCCTTTCACTGTTTTTGGCTGGAGGCTGTGGTGGTTTGAATGAGAATGGCCTCCTAGGCTCACTCACTTGAATGCTTGGTCCCCAGTTGGTGGAACTGTCTTGGGGAGGACTGGGAGGTGTGGCCTTGTTGGGGGTCAGTGATTTAGATGGTTGCCTTGCATTCCATGTCCCTTGCAAGTAATCCTTTGAAGTGTTAAACTGACTTCATAGCTCTGCTAAACACTGCTCTTCTTAAAAACAGCCATTGGCACAACTATGCCCACTATGACCATTTTTATCAAGGTATTCCCAAGAACAAGCGCTTACTTCTTAAGTTCTCTCCGTACATTCTCATAAGTAAACAAGTGCAATGCTTTAGCCTTTCTGACTGACACAGTATTTCATGTTATTTGTTCTACACCTAGAGTTTCAATAATAACCTAAGAATTTCTAAAGAAGCAAATGTTCACCTTACTCCTTCCTGAAATGTTAACAGTTGAAGGAATTTCTCCTTTTCCTAAAGTTGAGGAACATTTATTTGATGAAAAAAAAAAAAAAAAGAAAGAAAGAAAGAAAGAAAAAAGAAAAAAAAAAGCTTTTGCTGTTTTTCCTAAAGAATGTGGTATTCCTGGGGCTGGAGAGACAGCTCAGAGGTTAAAAAGCACTGGCTGATTTTACAGAGGACCCAGGTTCAATTCCTAGCACCCACCTGGCAGCTCACAACTGTCTGTAGCTCCAGTTCCAGGGGGTCTGACACTCACACAGACACATATGCAGGCAAAACAACAGTATACACAAAATAAAAATAAATCACTAAAAAAAGAATGTGGTGTGCCAGGACAGAATTAACAATGTTCTGCATGCCACAGACCCCACGATTTAACACCGAATTATACAAAGTGACTCCCTCAAAACTAGCCACGAGAGCTGTGGGCTTCCGTAGTTGAGCAGCTCTGAACCTGGACAGGCTGTTTGGGTTCAGTACACTAATAAGCTTCTGTGGATGATGTTACAGGTGAAGATCCTTGGCGAGATGCTCTGACCTCGGTGAGATGCTCTGAAGAATGAGCGTGGTAGAAAGAAATGTACTTTACTTCCATCACATTTAAACTGGAAACTGGTGATTTCTGAACTCCTGCTCTCTTCACATCTGACGTGAGGCACATGCAGAGGAGGACAAGCAAAATGGCACACATAGGACTGCCAACCAACTTCCTGAGGAATGAAGCAGGGACACCCAGGGCATCGCACAATGTTACAGGTGGAAAAGCCAGGCCTTAAGCTTAAGGCAACAAGCTTCATCTGCAAAGGGCCAGGCAGTACAGGCTGTACAGTCGGGCCGTATGGCTTCTGTTGGCATGGCTCAGCTCTGCCACTGGAGTGCAAATGCAGCTGCCAAAATAGGTACAAGAATGAACATGACTGAACAATAAAATCTTATTTATGGACACGTAAATTGGAATTTCATATCATTTTCACATATCATAAACCTTTCAAGTGTTCCAACCACTTAAAATTGTAAAATCTATTCTTAGTTTCAGGGTCATACAAAAACACATGAATTTGACCCAAAGACCAGCTTGCTGACTCAACTTGGAGAACTGGGAACCAGAGGCACAGAGGTTGGAAAACCTTGAAAACTGGTCATAGGTTGAATGAGAAGTGGAAGTCTGGGGGCTTTGGAAATGTAAATATGTCCTGTAAGGTCTGTTAACAGTTACTCAAATTAGTTCCTATATGTGTACCATGGTGCACTTACTTTAGGATGCCTTTTTGCAAACAGAAATGTTCTTTTTTTTCAAAAGCTATTATTCATATGCCCACAGATCGTTCCAATTTCAGTTCTCACAAAATGAATTTAGAATGATGTACAAATTAGTATCTACTGAGTTGTGATGTCTTAATAAGAAGCCTCATCATTTTTTAAAAGCAAAAGCAGACTGAGTTGATGTTTAAGGTAGATTTATTTATTTTGCAATGTTGGTACTGACACTGTACTTGTGTATTTATTAGACATAGCTTTCTTGATATTGCTATGGGTTACAAGCATTAGTGGTTCAATCTATTTCAAGACATCCTAAAAATAAAACATTTGAACATGAGAAGTGGGCTAGACATCCAGTGCAATAGTGTCTGACTTTACTGAAGAGCCAAGACGCGAGTCAAACTGCCATTGGATGTAAGTTATTTTTAAAACTGTCCTTCACAAAACAGTCAACTAAGTGCAAGGGATTCTTCTCATTCCTGAAATGAAGCAAACTGTGATTTGTTCCTTCAGAGTCAAGCCTACATTTTATCTTTCCATTGACATCATTCCATTTGAAGATATTTTTCTTCAAATTATAAAGCAAGCTAAAAATCCTGAGTTTTGCTTTGAAATTTTCCTTTACCAACTATAGAATGAATTAAACAACCCCTTCTCTGCACATTCTAAAAAAGAGACATGTCAAAAATACACCACACAGCTTTCACATCAGTGAGATTCTTGCTTGCACCATTATTCTCTTGCCAACGAAACTCAGACTATTCTCATTTGGCAGTTGTACAGCACTAAAAGTTCCCTTTTAAATAAAACAATAGGTCTGTAACAAATGGACCGTGCTGCCTCGTTTTAAAAAAAAAATATTCTGGAAACATTTTATCTAGTTTCTATAAACTAAAAAGGCCAAATGATTTGGGTCACCTTGGGTTTCAAATTAAATTACTGGTTCAGTTTGAGCCAGACAAAAGCAACAGGTAGTAAGATGCAGAGCCAGGTTGGTGGCCTGGGTTTGCCCCACCCACCACATGGTCCTTAGCATAGATGGGGATTTGATTCAGAATAAATCTGAAGTGAAGCCCATACTCAAATACTGATGTGAACAAACCCAGCCTGTTGAATCCCAATTTAGGTTAAAGGATGCATACTATTAAAATTGGGATTTGAAATTTTAGGCAGGACACATGGATTAAAAATGTAAATAGGACCAGTGAGATGGCCCAGAGAATAAAGGCTATACAAACCTAATGACCTCAGTTTGATCCCAGACCAATAGAAAAGTAAAAGGAGAAAACCGATTCCACAAAACTATCCTCTGCCTCCATATGTGCCCCCCACATCATATATACATACATTTGTGCACATAATAATAAATAAAATAAAAATTTTAAAAATATAAACAGTTCATTATAGGAATGTGCCCCCTTAATGATGGGGATACATTCTGAGAAATGTGTTATTAGGGAATCTCATTGTTGTACGAATGTCAGAATAGACTTACACAAGCTAAGATAGCTACAGTGTCACTAAGCAACCAGGTTTTTGTTTTTTAGCTTCATTAGAACATTATAGGATCATGGTTATGTCCCATGAACCACACACAGCAGTCCACCATTTATCATACTATCACTGTAAGGTACATGAATGCATTACAGCTGACTAGCACAGTCTGGTGTTTTCCAGAAATACTAAGTTCTGACTGAAAGCTTATCTGAATTACATGGGGACACCAGTCTATCAAATGACTTAAATTAATCTTATTCATGATGAATTAGGATGACTAACTATCCTCACCACCATTTTTTATTCTTTAGGATAGAAGAAATCTGGATAGCAAACTCTTAATCAGTAAAATTGGTATGAAAGAGAACTAAATATGCAGGCTGGTTGTATTGCAATTTTTTTTTTTAAATGTTCCAATGTGGGATCCTGCTAAGACTTATGGCCTGCAGAGAAACAATCTGCGAGAGGCTAGAAGGAAACCAGGTTCATCACAACTTAGCTGGGCTGGTTCAAACTTCCATACTCTGACACCAGAGAGTTTATTTTAGCCATGTTTAAGCACAGCACTATTTTAGTAAAAAAACAATTCCTTATGACAATTCACTCAATCCTGTGTGTACCACAATTAAGACATGTTTACACTGAAACTCTTTACATACAGCTTCTTCTATAAAGATGGGTTGACACATGGTCAACATAAGGTCTAGGGGGGATGACTGAAGTAAGCATAATAGCCCATGGGGGTCAAGACTGGCTTGGGCCTAAGATAACACTGAAGTTACTTTGGCTGTTGGGTTTTACAGACTGAGAAGCAGTGCTTAAGGTCTACAGAGGGAGAGTCTGGGATGAACAAACATAATAGTCTGGGGGAGCCAGGCAAAGCCAAAGATTGTAAACTACATCCATTTCCAGCATCCTGGGTAGAAAACAGGTAAGCATCTCCTGGCTTTGATAAGTCTGAATGTTCAACTTTCCTGGTTTCCCTAGTGCTTACCTGTGTGACCAAGGATCTCGTGCCCTCAACTTGAACCATGTCAAAGTTAGCAGCCCAATTTATAAAGAAAAACTATCTGGCAATAAAGAATTAGAGTAAGAAGCAAGCATGATACTTGGTAGGGAGGTGACAGAGATGCTCTTCCTCTCAATCACCTGTCCATTGACAACTCATTATTTGTCAAGATAAGAATACCACAAAGTGTCTGGGAATTGGGTGGTAAGGATCCGGGCAGAAATACTCTCCTGAGGTAAGGCCTCTTCGATTCAGTCATCCATAGCATAAGCACAAGTTTACAGAGTCTCCTGAAAATCAATATGGAGCCTCAACTCAATCAAAGTGGAGTTACAAGTGCCTTGTTTTAATCAAACCTGTTTCCTTAAAGGCTTCCCATCTTGATGGCTCTGGAGGTATTGATGGCTCATGAAGGCCCAGGATAATATATGCTAGGTCTTTTCAAAATTTTTCTTCCCCTTCCAGTTCCCTTCCAATATCTATGCAGATACTGAAGGCTTGGTACTGAAAACATAAGGGCTCTAAAATTAACTCTAAAACACAAAGCTCCATGAAAAGCTACTCTCTCCTGCCAATAAAGAATAAGGTTTTGGAGATACTGTATTTGGCAAAGTAAAATGCAGCCCTCCTAGCTGAGTGGTGGTGGCGCACACCTTTAATCCCAGCACTCGGGAGGCAGAGGCAGGCGGATATCTGTGAGTTCCAGATCAGCCTGGTCTCCAAGAGCTAGTTCCAGGACAGCCTTCAAAGCCATAGAGAAACCCTGTCTGACAGGCTTCAGAAGCTACAAAGAAACCCTATCTTGAAAAACAAAAATAAAAAAATAAAAAATAAAGATGCAGCCCCCAGGAAAGTAACCACAAGGTGTACTTTTAACCCCTTTACAATTGCCCCTCTCTCAAAAGCACCAAGGCCAGAAAAGGAGAGCACAGAGTCTCCAAGTGATCATACAGCAACCCCTTGGACAAAGTCCGGACCTTTCTCATCCCTCCCAGGACCCACAGTTAACTTACATATTCTCTGCCATCTTTTCCTACAAGTAACCAAAAGCTAAAGATTTCTGACAAGAGTTTGTTAAGTAGCTGGCTTTTAAACACATTCTGAACCTCCATTATGAAGATACTCTGACATCTCTTTGACTGAACACATACTCTGAAATGGAAATAATTCAGATGACAGCCTCTGAACCTGGAAATAATTCTTTCTGACAATGAACTTTGGAATACTGCATTTTTAAATAGTGTGAATTACCTGACTTGGCATCAAAGATCATGGAGCATCAAGGCTGTTTTGTTCCCACTATCCCACTTGACTATTAAATGCGTAGTGCACAGTAGGTGCCCCAGCCCTGTCTTCAACAATAATTAAGGCTGTACCTTAATCTAATCCTCAAGGTATATGTACACGTGCCTGGATTACTAGTGCCTGTAATACTTATCTCCAGAAAGGAAACACAAGGCTACATGAAAAAGGTAATGTACACATATAGTTCACCCTCAATTTCGATGGACTATCTGAATGCTAACTGTATAGAGTTATGGTCCAACTGTGACAAGAAACTGACAAGTGTAAAATGGTCATGAAATACCCAATCAGTCAATTCCTATTTTAAGTCTCATGCTCTACCAACCGAGCTAGCCGGGTGGCGGTTCAATTCCTATTTTAAAACTGACTTTTCACTTATAGATGTTGTTGCTGCCAAAATAAAATATAAATATATCCATGTTAGAAATAATTGACGGTTTTCTGACGCTAAGTTGGGTGGGGTAGAGAGTAGGGGGCGGTAGTCGGGGGTGGTGGGAGAAGGAGGAGGCGGCGAATCACTTATAAATGGCGCCCAAGCAGGACCCGAAGCCCAAATTCCAGGAGGGTGAGAGAGTGCTGTGCTTTCATGGGCCTCTTCTCTATGAAGCAAAGTGTGTAAAGGTTGCCATAAAGGACAAACAAGTGAAATACTTTATCCATTACAGTGGTTGGAATAAAAATTGGGATGAATGGGTTCCAGAAAGCCGAGTCCTCAAATATGTGGACACCAATTTGCAGAAACAGCGAGAGCTTCAAAAGGCCAATCAGGAACAGTATGCAGAGGGCAAGATGAGAGGGGCTGCTCCGGGAAAGAAGACATCTGGTCTGCAACAGAAAAATGTTGAAGTGAAAACAAAAAAGACCAAGCAGAAAACACCCGGAAATGGAGATGGTGGCAGTACCAGTGAGACACCTCAGCCTCCTAGGAAGAAAAGAGCCCGGGTAGATCCAACTGTTGAAAA